GGTAAAGATGGCTGTGTAGGCTATCTTTGTTAGTCATAGGAGAAAAGCCTGGTTTAGTTCACGATACCAAAGCATTACGTCAACTTTCAAATAGTTAATTCCATGAAAACTAAAAATATCGAAATTAATACTTCCTGTCTGCCATCTTAAATGCGAAGGTGACAGCTGTAACCTTCGCCTGATACTTACCAGTGATAATGTACATGTAGATCTGACGCTTCTTTACCTCTTGTTCGAACAGTAAGCTTAGAGCACTTCATAAAATCTAAGGAAGCGTCACCGTACAGCTGATGCGTCACCGTACAGTTCTGATCTTTTTTAAATAAATACACTGAATGATTATTTGCCGAATATTCATCTGTTCTAAAATGTGTAGATAACAAATACATATTCTCATAAAAATAATCCATACTCTCAGACGACAGGGAAAATAATAACCAAACGAAAAGTGAAAAAAACACAATTTTTCTCTCGAGTCGATTATGTGGGCCGATCCAGTCAGAAAAAATCCGAGCAGTGCTCGAAAAACTTTTATCATAATTAGAAAGTTAAAACCATTCCTAAGAGAATGCAGTTTTTATTACACCCGAAATCGTATTTATTTTCATCTAATTAATCTTTTTAAAACCCTCATTATAGTTTTTGCTTCAACTCAGTTAATTTTCGTCAACGTACAGAAAACTGTACTACTGTATTTTTTGACGCTGTACGGTGACGCCTGCTTACGCGATGGTTAGGCGTGATTTACAAACAACCTGCTTGGAAATCAAAGATGGGTATTCAGTATTCACACAAAGGGGACATTTGTTATAATATGTACTATAAATGCTTTATAAACTGAAATACGATATAAAAATGAAAAGTACAAAAAAACATTCAAAATCATGCGAACCATTATGAAACAAGGAAGTTGCAAACAAAAAGCAATCAAAGAACATATAAATGAATTTGACACAGAACTGTTATAAAGGCACCATGCTCTAACGGAAAGATATCTAATGTAACCTTTTGAAATCAAAGGTTAGAATCCAATGGACTATACATAAAAGAGTACCTGGCAAGGCATGTGATGCCCCAATGATACCAATATCAACAATGAAAAATCATCCTCCATAGCAGTCCAGAATCCAAAGATATTCTGGATCTTGGAGCCCTGCATGAGGATGATGATGAAAAATATGAGTAGCATATATAAACAGGGTATAATCCATTGGACTCTACCTCTATAAAATGCAAACATCACACTGACTGAGAGTAAAAAATGCATCTTACCCACGTGTGACCATCACCTACATTGAGAAAACATCACAAATCAAGACAGTCCTTATCAAATCAGATCATCACAATCACCTTAAATGTCAGTATAATTTTGAAATTGTTAACTGATGGAATGATAAGTTTTCTAAACATACAAATAATGTGTATTTTAGGCACTAAAAGCAGCTGATAAATTTAATCAAATATTCAGTGAACTTTATATGATGGAAGTCTAATTTACATGAAACAAAACCACAGATTAAGTGATTACAAAGAGGATGCATTAAATATTATACTTTGTAAATGTCTTCAATTCTTGGATCTCTTAGTTTCCTATCTACATGTATTTGATATTCTCTTTCCTATTTTTACAAGAAAATGACATCATTTGAAGGGCATCTGGTAAATTAATCCCTGATACTTCTTTATCATTGTTTTATGTGTAAAAATGCCATAAATATTCAAGTATGAAGCATAGAAGGCCAAGGCCAGGTTATTAAAAACTTGAAGGTTTAGAGCCTCTGTTTACTAGATAAGATGTAGACTTTCAAAACAGAATGATGAGGCACAAAAATGTGCTGGCATAACTTCAAAGGTTCAGTCTCCCTAACAGAGTATTTAAAGTGACCAAACATATATAAGTGCTCACTACATAAAAAATATGTGGATATGATACATTTCCAAGTTTCACACTATGGTACAGGTATTTTACTTGAATTCCTGTGGCTTGTTTGAGAGTACATGAACTTTGATAGTGGTTTTGATTCATTTATATGTATTGTATGCTTTCCTAAATTTTTAAATATTGGGTGCTTGACATGGATGCATTTTCTAGGGAGCTTGTTACGTTCTCTATAACATTTGATAATTAATTGTACATTTTACTGGCAGTTTTTAATCATGTTTGTCATTGATAATGATCCATCCCTAACTAAATGCAGCATGTCATAAAACATGTGTTATAAAGACAAAGAAATGATTAAGTAGTCTGAAAACAAGTTGAAATTAGCATCAAGCCCTTCCACATATCCCTCATACACATATAACATAAAACCTAGTATTGCTTCAAGACCCTGGATGGATAGGGAGAGGGATGTCCAGGGTCTTGAAGCAAGACTATATAAAACCTAAAGAGGGATAGTGGAAGGCATACTAAAACAAGACTAGGCATGGCATATCCCTCTAAAACATGTAATCAGATTGACCACTTGAAAATAGGCTAAACCAATGAATAGTCTTTGTCAAAAATTCCATGTAATGCAATAAGTATGAATTCTAATCAATTTAGTCAAGAAACAAATACTAGAACATGAATGATTACAAGAATTATGTATGTACATTGTGGTTAAAGTCTCACGGTCTCACTTAAGGATCAGACATGTTTGATTAGGGATTAATTCTAAATTATAAACACATTGCTAAGCTGCCCTGGTTCTATACAAAACTATAAGCATCAGTAGAAATATAGAGAAATGACAGGTGGTCACATCTTGGAATGTTTGAACTTCAGTATAGTTTGAGTCAGTTCAAGTTTCTGGAATTTTTTGAAATTATGTCTGAGACCTATTTTAACTTGAACTTGGTGCTATGTTTTCTCTTGAAAGTATATGTAGTCTACTTTGACTTATTCAATGCAGTTACTGGTTCAGTATAAATTTTATTTTAAAGTATGAAAATGCGTTAAAGTGAAAAAAAATTTGCTGAAGATATAGATGTGTAGTAAGTTGCAGAATCTCTTAGTTAAACAGCTGTACCAACAACTCTACATCCATTTTACTTGGATAAATATGTTAAGAAATCACTAAGAAAACACCAATTTATGCCCCTTTACTGGACCTACTGGACATTGTTCAAACTTTTCATTTAAATGAACAATTGAATAATCCCATGTTCAATGTGCAGGTGGTTTCTCAATGTAAATTTGCAATAGCGTACCTTCTAATGGCATGTGTTTGCAAATGAAAATGTATTTTCTAAAGGAATTCATAAAATATACAAACTATCGTATTGTGTTTTAATTGAGACATCTGCATCACAAAGGCTCAAGTGAATCGTTAGCCATTTTTTAAAATGTGAATGACTCTTCAAGTTGAAATAAAAACAAGAAAATATGTGCTGTAATCTATAGCATTTTTTTTCTCAATACTGCTCTTGATTGTAGATTAAATATGCATTAGATATTCTGATGGTTGATTAAAAGAAACGGAGATGAAAGCAAATCCAATCTAAATGGTGCTGTACCATGCTTATAATCTACAGTCTACAAAATTCAGGAAGGGAACACTCAACAAAAGAGTCTCTTTGCTAAACTTTTCTGGCTAGACAAAATCTAACCCACAAACATTAATCTTTGAGTAGAGTCAGAGAGGCCTAAACAGCTTTGTAAAACATTACACTTGAAATGTGCAACTTCTTACAAATATTCACGAAACAAACAATGAAATTCAAATATCTATATCAACAGTCTGTGATATTCCTATATTTAATGAAAAATTTGAAACTGTATTAGTAGTACACTGATAAGGTAAACATTTTCCGATTTTCATTAAAGGTTTTAGCTTGAACTGATATGAACAGAGTTTATTATGCAGCTAAGAAACGATATTATGTGTGGAGAGAATATTTGTTCAAGCCGACAAGTCAGGTATATTGACCTGTTAAGTAGGATTCTCCACAAAACTTCAGAATGAATCACAATATCAGCTGAGATTATGAGCCCTTGGAGAGTTTAAGCCATATTTCTCAATTTATTTTTTAAATTTAACTCAGATATTCAACTGGTTTCTGGCAGATGCTTTTTGGTGCACTTTTTTCATTTTGATTACCATGGGGTTCCTGAACATTTAATATTTGTTTATGTTTATGAATCATAATGATATTGAAAGAAGGACTGGCTATAGGCATTAGGTTTGAGATCTAGTTTAAGATTCAAAGTTTAAAATACATGCACATGCACACTGCACAGGTATATGATTTATAGACTATTTTTTGTCACGACAAAAATTATGAAATTCCTCTTTATCAGTAGAATATGATCACAAGTATGCAAAGATCAGATCGATTTTAATGTAATACATGATTTACAACTTTTAAATTGTCACGACTTATGACAAATAATAACTTTCTAAGTATCTGAAATTTTCTTTTAAAGTGCATATAAAACAGTCTAAATATAACTTAGCATATCGAACAGGAGTATAAGGATCTGACAATCTACTTCAAAATGTCAGTTCAACATGGCTTGTGTACAATAAAATTTCTACATTCAAAATTTCACATTCCACAAGTACATTGTTTGGTGTTGACAAAGTTTTTTTTCTCCAAAGAAACACAAACATTATTTGAAGGGTACAAAAGAAAATGATTTCTGTTTAACAATAGGTAAACTATACTGACCAATATTGTACTCACAATTAAAATAACATTGCAATTTGTATGGTACAATATAATTTATTTAATTATAATTTCTAGCAAATACACCAGGGCTGTCATTGAGAACTTTCTATGTCCTCTTACATCGTACAGTAAAACCTGTCTCATTGGAACACCTTTCGTGCCTCTAAAATGTGTCAAACTTATAGAGGTCCAATTAACATAAAGTCAGTTGGTCTTGGGACTCTCAAAAGTGAGTGAGGCATTCCACTTCTAGAGGTGTTCCACTTCAAAGGTTTCACTGTATAATATTCTACTGCCTTCTTTTCTGATATCAAACTACTACACACATTATAAAGTCTCTGACCTACCTATTTTGGTTAGGCATTGGTCCCTTGAATCTCTATTACACATTGAGATGCCTGTTTGAGTTGAAGTAATCCAAGAGTTATTCAAGTGCTACATCCTGGAAAAAGATACACATAAATGTAATGTCATCGATTCCATTATAAACTAAAAAGCCCTTATTCTTAAATATATATACCTTAATAACTGTGTGTTACAGTAGTAGATCACTTGCCAGACAAGATATACAGCGACATTGTGTCAAAATAATTTATCTGGAGTGCTAATGTCATACATTTTTGATTTTTCATAAGATTTGGTATTATTTGATGTTAAATTAAGTGAATGTAATATGCAGCCTGGAGTGTTCAACTGACAGTTACTCCAGATAGCCAAGTATAATTATATCAACTTTGTTACTTTGAAATAGTGTCAGAGATAATAAAAATGTACTACCCCTCACTATACCAGGACTGACATGCATAAAATAAATATGAGATAATTTGAACATGTGTTATGACATTTATGTCCAGAAGAGCTATTAAAGAAGTTGTATCTATTATGAGAAGACCAATAAAATTGTTAGGTATGTACTGGCTTGAAGTGTTATATGTATAAATTAGACTATCAAGAGGCCTTCATTCTGTATTAATTTCCTCAACAAGAAAATGCAGCAAACTCCTCGAGTCGAGGTCTCCAAGTCAAAAAAATTCCTGACCCTATCATATCTGTTGATAATCCGAGCGTGGCACTGAACGAACCTATATGCCTATTAGTTATTATTTGTTTAGTTGTTGGTTGGGTAACATGTTTATGACGTCACAAATGATGCGAAGAATCTTTAAACCAATCAGTGAAGTCTATATTAATCGTTTTAGTTGTTGATGTGGCGATACGTGTCTGTGACGTCACGGGTGATTGCATCATATTCTAGAAACGCCATTTTACGACATTGCATAATTTTAGCTGATTTTGGCTCCATTTCACTTTATTTGAAAGACTTTTAAAAATATAATAATGAGTCAGTATTTTTTCTTATAAATATCTATATTTGAAATTGAGGTCAAAGTCCGAAGATTTGATCAACTGATTGAAATCTCACTTTAAAGAGGTGAAGAAGTGAATAATTACAGGAGCAAACGTGATCAATGGTTCGAGGTCTCCCGCAAAGCAGTCGCTACGCTCCTACTTTGCGCTGCCTTCGGCAGAGGAGACCTCGAAAAAACATCAAATGTGCCACACGAATGTAATGAAATACTTACATATCCATGTATAGTAATTCACACTTTTTATATAAAAACTTTTTGTTTTATTCTAACATGGAGAGCTTTGATATGTTCTTGTTGTAGACAATCAAATGCCCCAAATTAGTGGTAAGGGCTTTTCTAAGGTTTTATTCTTATTATTTATTTTTAAACTCAAAATGCAGAATTAGACTGAAAACCCTTCAAAATATTTTATGTCACTCTCGCAGTTTAGGAATATGTTTACTGTTAGAGGTCTACCATAGTTTTGTCAAAAATGAGTCGCATCTCAAATGAAATGGTTTAGTTTATATCTTATCTTCACATCTTTTCTGCGTTTCCTTGCATTTTAAAAAAGTGAATAAGAAAAAGGAAACCTTCTCATTCTAAGTATGCAACTTATTTTCCATATGAATATTTTGTGCATCAATGGACCTAGTTATGACTTCGAAATTCTTTATTGTACCCCTGTAAGATATTTCGCCATGTCAAAATATTTTATGTCACTCTCGCAGTTTAGGAATATGTTTACTGTTAGAGGTCTACCATAGTTTTGTCAAAAATGAGTCGCATCTCAAATGAAATGGTTTAGTTTATATCTTATCTTCACATCTTTTCTGTGTTTCCTTGCATGTTAAAAAAGTGAATAAGAAAAAGGAAACCTTCTCATTCTAAGTATGCAACTTATTTTCCATATGAATATTTTGTGCATCAATGGACCTAGTTATGACTTCGAAACTCTTTATTGTACCCCTGTAAGATATTTCGCCATTGTTCTGTTAATTTCTAATTCATTATTTGAGTGTCGTACTTAGGACAACAGTTTAATTTCACTAACAAGTAATGTTGTAAGCTCAGCTTGTCAATCAAAAAGTTTTGAACAAAAGATGGGTTTTCATGAAAAATATACACACACTTTTGAATCTATTTTAACAGAAAAACAGAAGAAATATTAAGAAAACCTACCTGAATATCAAAGAATATGTACTCATTTGTTCCTTGCGTTTATTTTATTGTATGTTATTCGATTGATTATAGGTAAAAACTAGATAAATAGTTGAAATTCCTTCGTTTCACTTCTAAAAGCACTTTGTAGGTTTGACCTCGTTCTCGATTTTCAGTAAGCTACTGATAGCCTCGAACCGATGTAGTTTGATCAATTTGAATTTTGTTTCGAGACTACTGCTTGTAAACATCAGCACGTGTTTGGCTTTATTAACCCTTCACCTGTTGTGATTTTGTAAATAGTCATGACCAGTGTCAATTGAACATTGATTTTCATGATATAGACTATCTGTTAATGATCTAAGTAATTCATCAGTGATTTTATAAGTGATTCCTCTCCATCCCGGCCTCTCCAATCTCTATAGAATGTATGCAAATAGAATGAGAATGTTTGACATGTTTCTTTCTTTGCAAATTGGCCACTGACATAACACGAACTCAGAACTTGAAGAAGAAAGACAAAAAAGTTCCCTCACACTTTATCTCCAATGTACTCAAGGTAAACTCATGGACTTCAAATAGAAACCCATGGTAAACTCGGGGGTAAACTCAAAGTTTCATTACATATCAGAAACTTTTTTATATGAAAGCCCATGGTTATGGAAAATTAGAGGATTGTTCGTTTCATATCATATCATATCAATATTTATTTCAAGTCGGATATTTTTGCATTTAGTTTTGCATTTAGAGGTTGTTTCCCTACCCTATTTACAAAAAATGTTGGTTTAATAGATGTCTGTAGACATATTTTGTATCTCTGATTTGTTCCCTAAAGAAGCTGTTTATGAAAAAAATATTGCTTCAAATAAATGTCTGGAGACAAAAAATGTCTGTTTTACCTTTCCTGATTTGTTTTATGTACAAAGATAATAAAAAATTATTTATTGGTAAAGCGTTGGAGATCCTCTTTTGCCCTTAACCCCTCTGGCTTTTTACCCAGAAATTGAAATCATGGGTTTTCAAGAACCCCCCCCCCGTCCAGAAATTTCCCAGTAACCCCATCCTCCGAATATAGGCCTCCAGAACTCGTACCTCCTTCTACTTCTGGAAGAAAGAAGGAATTAGTGGATGATGTCTTGAACCCTGGGTCACGCGTGTGGGCACAGAGACATGTAGCACTAGTATGATATGAGATGAGCACTATGATAGGCCCTATAGTTATATAGTATAGATGCTGTAACTCCCGAGTAGTGTATACACAGTTGCCATCTATAAATATTTCAGTGTACCATTTCCAGAATCAACCTATGGTGTCAAAACTTTTATGTGGTGTGTCATTCCGGAAGTCAAAAATTTAGCGGGAAAACAAAATGATGTCCTACGCTTCAATAACAGATGAGGATTTAACGGATGAATTCTCCACATTCGACATTAATTTAGACAACGAAGATGTGATAGATAAGTGTATGTATTTATATATTTGAGTATAACACTTCAGTTTCGATGGATCGAGCCTGGACGTCTCGAAATGCAGGAGACTTTTTTGTGGTTGGTTCGAAATTTTATTTGTTTTGTTCACAGTTCAGTCACTTGCTCTCATTTCTGAGTCAAATTGTTTCCAGTTCCATTTCTGATATCACTATTTAGGTTTATTAGGGCTTTATTAGGGCTTATTTGTCCACTTGTAACAACTGCCTACATGCACATGGACGGCATTGTTTGGTTAGTGGTGCTGTCAAGTGTCATGTTACAGTTTTCCTAGTTCCAATTCCATTTGTGTTCTGGTCTTTGACGCGAGCCACATCCATGTTTCTTACCTCAATTGATTCTTAACACCAGCCTAAAAGTTCTCTCGAAGCAAAAAAAGAAGCGGCTGTCACAAATTGCAGAGAACACATATAGGCCTACACTTCAATCTTTAAATAAGCCAGTATTTCAAAGTACAAACTTGAATTTCGGAAGTCCTAGGTAGTTATTACTCAGTAATGTACAATGTACAATATAACGTTAGTTGCTTGATTTATTGCCTGACTGATTGACATTATATTAATTTTGTTTGTCGTTTTGCTGGTTGATTTATTGGTAAATAAATTTTGTTGCTTGTTTGGTTGTTTGCTTGATTGGTTGTGTCACTGGTACGTTGATTGGGATGTCAGTTGGGCGTTTTGAGGCATAAAATGAAAAAATCAAATTCCTAACCATGTTAGGAAGGTAGGGTACCCGGTCACCCAGCTACCCGGTTACCTGGTCACCCAGTTTTTTACACAAACCCAGACATTCATGTACATGTTCCTTAATACTGGCACTGTATTACTCAGTCGATAGTCAAAATTGAACACCATTCTCTATTGTATTGTCAATACCAAAGACTCCATGGTTCTCTCCAAGCTACAGTAAAATTTTAAATGTTTGGAACTACTTTGAATTTAAAAAATAAGCAATCAAATGGCTATATTGCAACAGTATACAGGGCTCTCGTCAGGCTTTTAGACTGTGGCGCAGCACCACACTCTATGAAGCTCCCTCCACACCCTATTGGCAAATCATGACTGTTTTCACAGTCTAAACTTGACTGAATATACAATAATAGCATGTAAAAAGGAAAGAACATAACATAAATATGATTTATTACGATTGAACGGTTATTCTGAAGATGTTAGCACCACACTCTAAATATTTCCTGGTGAGAGCCCTGGTATATGAAAAAATGGATACATATGTACAAGTACTGACTTTGGTATATTTCAGATAGTTATTATGTATAATGTGCAGCAAAACTGTGGCCTTTTGTAATTTAGGGAGTTTCAGCCATGTTAATTTTTTCGAAAATAACAAAATCATTAAACACTAGTTACATTGTGCTTATTCTATATTTAATAAAATATTTGTCATGATGTTGTTTGATTCATATTACAGTAAAGGAGCTATGTGTGCTATATAGAATTGATGCCTCCAATATTGCTGATGAATGGGTGGCTTATTCACATACTAAGAAAGTCGACACACCTCTCAATGTGGATACATTGAGCAACTTTGAAAAAGAGGTACTACAATATAGCAGCATAATTTCTTGTTTGGTCATTTGTCATGTAAACCCGAAATCAACATTGCTTACTAATATTAATCAATTTCATTTTTTATGAATGAATTTACAACTCCTTTCCCTTTTGTAACAGATAAAAATATGACTCCAAAATATTTCAATTCATAAGCATGTGTTACTTGCTCTGGGTTTGATACAAATCTTTTCAGTATTATCAAAGCTTAAGTATTGACCATATGGAAAGTAAATTTTTTGCCTTTCAAATTGAAAAAAGGTTAAGCAGTAAATTTGAGTTTGAACCCATTCATACTGCATACCACATGGGTGATTTTTTCAAAAGGAAAGTTTGTACTAAAGTCTATTAATGGTTCACGCTACACATCATTATGAGTAATTGAAAATATTTTGGAGTCATTTACAATCAGATTTACAGAGACTGTTCTATTAAATGTATTGAATGATATTCCATGAATTTATAAAGGACGATTCTCGGTTTGGAGAACAGTCTCCTGGGCTAATAATTTTTTTCATGAAAAATATAGAAATATTACCCAAATTAAACTATGAATATTCAAAAGAGGACATTTAATTCTACAAGATGTAAAAATAACACATTGGTCTGAAGCAGGGATAACGCTCAATTAGACCGATTCAATAAAATACAAGTCTCGATTTGGGGAAAAAAGTCCATCAGTGTACTGCGCTAATATTTTTTTGCGAAAAATCAAGAAATATTACCCAAATTAAATTATGACTATTCAAAAGAGGACATTCAAATCTATATTATGTAAAAAAATCAAATTTGTCCGAAGCAGGGATAATGCTCATTTAGATTGATGAACTTCGTTCTCCAAACCGAGAATCGTCCTTTGTAAGTACAAAGTACAATATAATTGAATTATTTTTTATTACAGAAACTCAACAGAAAAGCTGGCAAAAATAAAACTCCAAAGCATGGATCAACAAAGAAGGTTATTTATAATGCTGACACATTTGCAGATATGTATCCTTTTCAGAGATATTAAATTTTTTTCTTGATAGTCATTCATAAGTTCTTTTATAGTTTCATCATTCATGAGAAGATATTTTTTGATTATGCCTAGTTCAAATCCTAAATAAAATAACTCGCAAAAATAAAGGTTCAACTCAATGATTTATGTTATGTGTTGTCATGGTATTCCATTGTATAAATACACCTTAACAACAACAGTGTTGACAACAATCTGGCAGATGACTTCCTAGAGGCATATTCCACTCCAGGCGCTAAGGTACATAACATTTTATTCATCAATATAACATTTTCAAGTACAAATAATAGCCATTTGTTGGCTGCTTAAAAGGCTTGAAAGATCAGAAGTAATATTTATTTTTTCAACAATTTTTTCATTAAAAATATTCCATGAAGTTGACATTTTTGATTGTTCGTTATTTACAGTATTTTCAAGAAACAATCACCAGGTCTTTGCTTATGCCAAGTGCTTTTTATATCTGCAGCATCTAGCATTATAATTCAGATCCTCAGATTTATCCTTCTGTGTTAATCTTGTATGATATGAATCCTTCTTCTTATAATATTTAGATAATGATTAACAGCAATGTCTTATAAACTTTATTATGTAGAATTCCTTTTTTGCCTGTATATTTATTGCTGCGGTACTTAATAGTTTATTTTTAACTTTAGGAAGAACTGGAGATCTTAAAGGTAATTGATGCTGAAGTGCCGTTTTTGTAGATTTTGTGTTGATACTTAATATTTTGCTATTACAGTTTTGGTAGCGTGTCTCTGTTCTTTATAGACATCATTTTCTTTGCGTTTTTATTTTGTGTGGATTTAGTTTGGCTGAAAACTTGCTTTACCCAGTTCTTCAATATAACCAGGCATCAAAATAATGCAACCTTAAAGTCCCCGTCTAAAGTTTGAAAATATTTTTTTATCATTCATTTACTATTTGTCAGGACTTAAAAAGTGATTTTAGAGATTTTTGAACAAAAAAAAAATTTTGAAAAAAAAGTTGTGAGCATTTCATTTCTCAAATATTCAAATTTCCCGCCATTTTTCCAAAAAAATTGGAATTTCTTAATCATCAAATATTTCTTAATGCATTTCAAAAAAGATTATCTTTTTAACACCAATGCAAAGATTGAACAGAAGACACACTATTTCAATAAAAAAATGTCATATTTAATGGGCCACTTCAATGTTTTAGCTTATCAAAAATATTTTGAAACATTAGTGATGTCACTAAGGTAACAAAAACTTTTTGAAAAAAATTGAATTTTTTTTTTCGATGTCAATCTTTTCTAAATATGCTAGACTTTCATAAAAAACAATGTTGATTGCCTAACCAGGTTAAAAGGAAGAATAAATTATGTTTTAGATATCATTGTACCATTGGTTTCTATGAGAACTAAAATTTTGAAATGCATTTTTCTCAGAACCATTTTCATGCACTGATAAGTTAATTTCTCGCTTGTTTATCAACCGATTTTCTTAATTTTTTCGGCAAAAAACATGGGAGGATGAATGCTATGCATTGGTATGAATTGTGGCTAATTAGAAGATATGAATGACCTCTAAAAGTTGGTTTTAAATAAATTCACAAATTTTGGAACAAAAAGTCTATCAAAAACCACTTTTTGAAATTTAAAAAAAAAGTTTCACATATCACACTTTGATAACATTGGGTAAGACTACAATATAAGCCAAAGTGGTTTAAACTTTACATGGGGCCTTTAAGCACATTTTGACTTAACCCCCTCCCAAAAAGCTTTTTTTCTTTATCCTAGGCTTGATCTGAAGTTATCATAAAATCATAGTGACCAACCAAGTGAAACTGGCTAAATAGATATAATACCCTACATTCTCAACCTTTGTGGTTGGGTGTATATAGAGTTTTTCGTGAAGCACTAAGTCCCACTTAAAAATAGATAAAAGTTACTGGCTCAAGCAAGACTTCTTTGCTTGTTCTCTAAAGAAACTCAGAATGTTTGACTTACAGGTCCTGAAGTGTAAAGAATGCTGTAAATATATTTTGTGTTCACATAAAAGAACCCAAAGCTCCTACAAAGATGGGTTTATGGCTGTCTCCTATTACAATAAATTATGACCATAGGATAAAGAATATGTACAAGAATACAACAGTAAAGGAAATATAAATGAAGAAAATGAAACATTTAGGCTCAATCTATTTAAGAAGATGACAGATAGCTGTCAGTAGCCTACATACCAAAAACATGTCAGTCAATCACATATTTATGTTACATATTTTCTTCTGTATATTCTAGGAAAAGATTAAAAAGCGGCAAGTAACACCAGACAATCCACCCACCAACAAAAGATTGACAGGGCTCAATGGCACTCCTGTTCCTTTCTCACCAAACAGTTTCTCTCCTGCTAACTTCTCACCAACGAGGTATGTGTTTTTCCCCTGCTAACTTCTCACCAACAAGGTATGTGTTTTTCCCCTGCTAACTTCTCACCAACAAGGTATGTGTTTCTCCCCTGCTAAACTTCTCACCAACAAGGTATGTGTAGCTTCCATTCCCAATTGCTGGTGGAATCTTAACTTTTGGTTTAAAACATATTTGCGTGTCTTGGTTCCTCAATTCTTAACTTCAAAAGTAAACATTAGAACATTTTTGAAATTGTGAGAGGATGAATACATTTTTTGAAGAATAAGATTGTCTGCATTTTCAAATTTTAGTGAGGATAACCAATTAAACCAATTATGTTTAACTCCAAATATTTGCGACATATGTCCATTTATTCATTTTTAATTTTCAGTGCAACACCTTCCAAAAAATACAATGCCAGACCAGGCAAAGGTGAGATAGTGTGTTCACATGGTCCCACTGAAAAGGTCAATTGGCAGGGTCAAGGTCAAAGGTCAAGCTGTATAGAGCCATACACAGGTGATGGTATACAGTCATTGGAGAGCAAGTACAAATACATGTTCCAGAAAGTAACAGATAAAGCACATGGTGAGTAAAGGGCTTCTTGTAAAACTATAGCATTAAATTTTAAACATCCAAATTCAGCTTGATGAAATACTCGAAAAGAAAATATTTGAATTCAGAAAAACTTTGAACACCTTGTCATTGTTAGTTACTTTTTGTCACTCATAGTTAGAAACCTCTTCGTATATTGTTTGAAAAGTTTGAAAGTGTGAATCTAAAATATCTATTGTGTAGTATTGTATGTTTTGGAAACCTTTATTGCGATTGAGAAAAAATGAAATCCTTCTTACTCCTATTTTTAGCATCTTTACTATTGTAACACAGAAAAATCAAGTGGAATGAATAATCACAGAGAAATGGCATTTTTATTTCAGTCCTGAGTGACATGATAGATGAAATGGGAGCAAAACTCCAGAAACATCATTCTATTGAAGAAGTTGCTCATATATCACTCCCAGTACAGGTAAGAAGCCAAGGTATAAATGGACTCTGGCTACTCCACAGTTATTTATGGACTCAATGTCAATTTTAATTTTGAAATTACAAAATCACAAAATTGCTTATATTTTGGGTAAAATCTTAGAATTTTTATCCAAGTCTACACATTAACATGAAGAGTAACATGGAGAGTATGTTTGTATCGGTTGTTTTTGCAGGGTAAACTGTAAGAGCAAATAAGAAACAGGTGCTTTGTCACAGTCTGAAAGCCTTTTGAGCACTCTAAATCAGCTTGAAGATCTCATGAAGAACTCAAAAAACTCAAGACTTCAAAGAAAATTCTCTCATCAAAATTTTATAAGCATTTATTAACTTCTGGTATTCATACCCAAGTGTGTAGTACTCAATTCAATACTACCAATGTAATATCTGAAAATTGTTTATTACGAAGAAAAAGCTTGTCACGTTTTAAATACCTGATTTGGTATGCACCTTTCAGTGTGCGACGTTTAACATTTTTGACACTGCATTTTATATTTTCCCAGGAGCCTGTAACAATCATAGGCAGAGTATGTTGTGATGGCAACGGAAAATTAAATGCAAAATCACTTATTCTGGAAGGTTCTCGAGAAACATCAAATGGCAAGACGGTGCCATTAGATGTCACTGGTGTCCCACAATATTCATTATTTCCAGGCCAGGTGAGAAACATGAGATATTTTGAAATATGAGTTGGGTTTTAAGATTTTAAAATTAAGAGTTAGAATAAATGAAAGCAAAAATATCAGCATTAAAAACTCCATATAGATTGAATGTAAATGACATCAAATCCACAGTTATTATTTCTTTCATATTAACAAGTTCCTTAGCCAGATGAACGGAAAATCAAAAATTCAATTGACCAAAAAAAGAAATATATATAAAATATTTCTCCAACAGAATTTTTTGCTGAAAATGAAGATTAATAGTATACTCTTATGAATTCTCCATTTAATTTGCACCCAGGCTCTATATTACCTATACAATAAGACGTTCAATAATATTATTTTGCCTTAATTGTGTACATATATAACAGAGTTCAATGCAGAAATGCCATCTATTTTACATACAATATTCTTTTGTAGATTATTGCAGCAGAAGGATTAAATAGCACTGGGAGTAAATTCATGGCGAGTAAAATATATGAAGGAGTTCCCCCAACCCCCGCTGCCCCTATGTCAATAGAAGGTAATTAATTTTCATGCTGTTTAAAGGTTTAAAAAACACAGAGATTCCAGTTATTAAACATAGTTATACAAGCTGCTGACAAGCTTATGAACAATTTGTTACCATGTCTCTTGTCAACCATTCCATTGACTCCCAATTATTCAAGCCCATCTTGTATTGTAGATGACCTTCACATGGTCATTGCTGCTGGCCCATTCACTACCTCTGACAGTACTGCATATGAACCATTGGTTGATCTTGTCAAGTCATTACAGAGGGATAAACCAGATGTCTGCATACTGGTATGTTAAAGATTTGAATACAATTTTTATGTCACCACCAAAACTGGTGACATATTGTTATGGTCTCCAACTTTTTTGATGGCATTCGGCTGTTGATGGTTGGCGTTCGGGGTTTAGATTCGCAATAACTAACAAGGTGGTGACATTTTGTGATGTCAATGCCCTGTGACTTACACTTGTTAAAATAGTAGTATTGATTTATATCATGATAAGTTTAGGGGCTTGGGCAACTTATTTTTTCATGACTGATTCCTAAGACCCCATGCATTTATGAACATTGATATGGCACGTCTCTCCTGGAAACCCAGTAGAATACTAGCAGCTGAGGAGTTGAAATGAATATACAGCTCAAATGCTGAAAAGATCTGCATGACCCCAGGAGCAGCTTTTATTGGGAGTTAAGATGTAAACTGAATACCGGCTACTTATAAAGGCAGAAATGCAATTTGGTAGCTGTATTTTTGTCAACCATATCTGAATGAATGAATGAAGCTCTCCTAAAGATTATTTTCATAATCAAAGAGTATAAAATAGTGCTTATTTGTAATGTTCATCTTCTTTGTGCATATAATATGCTCACTAGGGTGATCCACCATATCTGTATTTTTCCCCAGATGTTTGAAAATAAAGAAGTGATAAGTGTAACAAAGTTGTATTTAGAGGGACAAAAATCATACTCTTCAAAAAGGGCAATTTTGACTCTCCCCTTGGATATCAAGAGGCAAGAGTCATTGGAGAGCAAGTACAAATACATGTTCCAGAAAGTAACAGATAGTTATTATTGATCTAGTATGTATTTGCTTTTAGATTGGACCATTTGTTGACATCAAGAATCCAGAGGTAGACAAACTCACGGAAATGACATATGAAGAACTTTTCCTAAAAAATATTACTTCATTAGTGGATGCAATTGAAAGGTAAGTTTATTTGATAAAATAGAGTACATGTATTATATCCACATTTCATTAACACATCTATTTATAATATTATGCACATGTTTATTCTATGAAAATAAGGAGTGTTCCAATGTACTTTTAGTTAGTTTGGATACTCTTTATATTTAGTCAACTAAAATTAATTTCTTGTAAACATATTATTTGGTTTCGTCATTTCCTTGGAGAGGTTTGAAATGGTCTTAGTGTTCAGACTTAAATCAAGATGACCTTTTTTCTTTTCCATACTACTTCTTATGATGTGTGGCCTGCTTATTTTTTACTATTGGCATTTTAATTAAGTTTATGCTGTTATCCAAGGGTGCCATAAGAGTAAAACTACGAAATTCTAAGTCTATTGCATTTAAACAATGGATTTAGAAAGTTCTTAAGCTTAGAGTGTTTTTGTGTATTCGAGATCCTAATATAATTGAATTTATTTTATTTACAGCTTTTAAAGTCTACTACACCATACCGTGTGTTAATAAACATTTGAATAATCTTTAATGTATTTCAGGTTACATACACAACTGATCATTGTACCTTCTCAGAGGGATGCCCATCATGAATCTGTTTATCCACAGCCATCTTTTGTTGTCCCAGAACTAGCCAAAAATAAGGTAACAAAGTAAACATCCCTTACATTATTTTTATGTCACAAACATAACCAAAAATTGTGTTTTACACTGCACTTTCATTACCTAATGACTGATGACATTTTATGTGGGAAATACTGTATTTGTCTTTAATTTGGTGATTTTCTATTTTTGGGCCTATTGGCATCTATTTAGTTTGGCGGTTTTTCAAGTGTCCCAGACATCCTCCCATCCAACCCAATTCAAGATACTCATTGTTAGTGTTGGTGATGAATTTCTTCAATATTTCTTGATGTTTATATAAATTCCTTCAATCATTTTTGTTGTTTCTATAAAAAACAGCCCAGCCATCTTGGTATCTGTCATATATCTTTTAGAATGAAAAACAGTCATATTCCCAGGAATTTTGGCAACTAATTAATTTGGCGATTTTATAAAGACAAATATAGTACCTTGAAGGCTGAGAATTTTTTGTGTCAGATGTATTTTACCATGACACATTTAATATTGTATGTATATATGACATTTTTCTCACTGGGTTTTCCATTTTTCAGAAGATTCATTTTATGCCAGACCCAAGCATGCTTACAATAGATGGAGTTGTTGTGGGTGTCATGGCAACAGATACACTATTTGACCTAGGAAAGGAAGAGACATCAAGGTTAGTGCAAGAACAAAAAGTATAGCAAAAAGTATAGCAATTTGAATTTGTGAAATTCACATGTTCAATCCTACTTTTTCTATACAGTGATAAGTTAAGAGGTTGCTTGGTTGTAAAACGAGACTTCTGTGTAATCACTTAAAACTGAATCAAAATCGAAATAAGTAAATCATTTTACATTTATTCCCTTAGAAATGTAAGAGATTTTATACGCAAATAATTAAAGAAATTTAAAGTAAAAAAGATGTAAAAGTTGTAGTAAAGTTCGAATTTTTTAATAAGAGAATTATGTAAATCACTGAAAAGTAAAATAAAATTGCGAGAGGTTATTTTTTTCCATTTGAGACCATATTAAAAATCCAATATTGGCCAATATGTTCCCAGGAATACAGAGACTCAGTATTAAATACAGCCTATTACCAGTATAAACAGTACAACCGTTTTGATACTGATACGATCTTTATGACCCACAGAAGTGGCCTTTAATAGGGAGTTTGAATACGAAATTAATGGCAGCTACTTATCAAGGCATAAAATGTGTAAGAGGTGGGGATTTTGGACGACTTTACTCTGATTGGAAAGGATCATTTCTAATTCAGAGTGTTAGAGAGTCTTAATGAACCAAAATCTCACTATTGCGAAGAACATAATTATTAGTGTCTAGTCAAGATTTTGCAGCATGCAATGAATAGAACTCACATATTTTGAGTTTAACATATGTACTAAACATTTTCAGCAATGCAGGTTCAGATAGGCTGGGGAGACTGGTCAGTCATATTATGACTCAGCAAAAGTAAGTTCCTCTTCTAGAATGGACAATTTTTATAATTATTTGCAATTAGCTTATCTTGTACAATAAAAATTGCTAACACTCCATTGTAACGCATTAACAGTTGTCATGGCAACACCTGTATCAGGAGGGCAGAGCACGGTCATTGTCTTGCAACAAACAGACAATATCAGAGTTCCACCGAATGATATTTGGTTTTTAAGCGACTCCTGGTCCTGCTACACCGGTCAATTCATTCACAAAATATTTTGTTATTGAACACCAAATCACTGCTCATGTTCAGAATAAGCACCATCTTGACAAAACACATTCCTATGCCTCCTAACAACACAACCATCCTTGAACTTGTGCCAAGCATACACTCTTCGCTCATACATAATATAGTCCCCTAAGGTATTTCTCAAAAACCTAATTGTATCATGCACTGATAGGCTATTCTTTACACAGTTTTGTATCAAAGTTCTCTATATCTGATGCTGTTTTTTTCTGTCATTGATGATATTTCTTGATCCATTTTGCTACCTTTCCAATATGGCTACCCTGGCAAAAAGATGAATTTTCACCAGTGTTTGATTCATAATCTTGTCAACAATTAGCATCTATGACAACGATAAAAATGACAATTGATCATTTAGAAAGTTGCTTAATTTCTTAGAAAATGACTATATTTCAAATAATTCAATCATCAGCTATGCCAAGAAAGGAAATAAACAAAGTTAAAAATAAATTAAAATAAAATGATGATCAGCAGGTAAACGTCGCCTCCTCCGGATACCCTACCCTTTTGTTACTTGAATCACCACCAAATCATACATATTGTGACCATGTATCCTTTCTCTTGGTAGTTAGATTGGGAACTTATTTTGGCACATTTTTGCCAAGGTTCATGTTATACTATTGAAACCTCTTCAAATGGGAGCATCATTGTCACTACTTATTGATCAGCCTGTATAACCATATATATACATGTATTTTCCATATTAAAAAACATGGAAAAGGAAAGAAATGGTCTTGCAAGGATATCCCTTTAAATATATATTGATCAAAGGCCAAAGAATAAACCAAAAATAAACCAAAGTTTATTCTTTATTTTTTCAGCTGTTATCCCTTGTACCCCCCTATGGAGGAGGTTAATATAGATTATGACCATTTTGAGGTGTATGCTGGTTTGTCTGTAGTGCCACATATATTGATCACACCCTCTGATTTAAAGTATTTCATCAAGGTAAGTGTTGTTATATTTAATTTAGGTACACAATCATTAAGAAATAAATAAAGTTTGACTGTCCTTCTACCTATTTGATTTAGGGAAACAATCATTTAAGAAATATGAAGTTTGACTGTCATTCTACCTGTACTGTGAGACCTGTAAAGTGGAACACCTTTAGAGGTGGAACACCTTTGTAAGTGGAACACTTTTCGGGGTCCAAGACCAACTGACTAAATGTAAAATCAACCTATATCAGTGGAACACCTCCCAAGTGGAGCATTTTTTAGAGGCACCAAAGGTGTTCCACTTAGGTTATACTGTACCTCGATTCAAGAGGTGAAGGGCCTTTCTCATTAGTTAATTTTCATTAAAGTCAAATAGATAGTTTTATCATATGGCCTTGAAATTCAAAGCATGGAAAATTGATGTTTTGGCTTTAGTTTGAATATAATGAGATATTGTTACCGTGCCCTTGGGGACTATATTATAATCAGTTTTACAATACCATGAAATGTCCTACAGGTCTTCAGTTAAACAGTATGTGACATGTTATTACATTTCTGAAAAACCTTTCATTGAACTCTCCTTGAACTAACATCCTTGCTAAGACACAAGTTGATTTTTCACGTTGCATTAGCCTCAATGTGTTTTCATTGTGACATGTACATTATTACATTAATAATTGTGTAATGATAATGCCAGTCATCACCCATGCAGTGCTAATAGGAGTAATTCTCACTCTAATTAACTCTTAAGAATTTATTTCATGATAATGACTTAATCATACACCTTATTTTCTGTAATTTTTGAGGCCTAAAAATTGTAGAAATTGACTTAATAGACCAGGGTGGCAACAGCTCTGGAATTTACTGAAAAAGTAAAATAAATTCCAGTTTTTGGAAAACACTGAAATTTTAGAAAAGATTCTGGAAAACACTGGAAAATGAACATGAGTTTTTCCAGGGAATTTTCATTTTTCCAAAAATACCGCAAGTGATAAATAAAGCATGAAATACTAAAAATGTGAATATTCAAGGGAGAGTTTTCAATTTATATATCTCAAGAAAACAGTTTCGCCTTTCTATTAGGATGGGTTCAGGTGTCAAAAATAGCTGATTCATCATTTTTAAAATTGAAAGTGTAATAGAAGATTTCTCAGCATCAAGTCTAAATTTCCATACAAAGAGACATTCCTGATCATTTTAAATCATTTTCAAATTGTTCATCTGGAAATGCGTAGACAAAATTAATTGGGATGCCCACCCACCCATACACCCATCCAGCAAACTGATCACAATATAGCACCCAATTGTGCAACACAATATTACTGTATATAAAAGTTTGCCTCATTTTGTGGATGGTGGTTGGCGTTTTGCATCTGTAATAAATGGCAGGTGTTAATCCCTTGTTAATTAATGTTTAAAATATACTAAAATATACTGTAAAAGGTTATAGAATATTGAGGAATGGTTGGCTGTGAGGGCCAAGTTTTTCAGCCATTAAATATTGCACATCATTGTCATAAAAAATTGCTGGGAAATCTTACTTTTCCAAGAAGTTATATGCCATTCCGACTCTGGAATTTATTTCTTAATTTTGTGTGACCACCCTGTAGACCCTTATAAACCCTGCCACCTTTAGGAACATCGTTGAAACAATGATGTATTGGCTAGATTAATTATGTCATTGGTTGTTACTTTTCAAAATTAGCAGTAAGTTTATCCTATTTTTGCTTGGCTAGGATGGATTGCTACCTACAATCAATCTCTTACAACCAATGACATCATCTATCTAGCCAACATATCACAGTTTTTTGATGTGCCAAAAGGTGGCGAGGCTTGTTTGAAACGTCTATTGTCTTTTAATGTTGAAAAGGGTGAAATCATGTTTTTTTCAATTTGGAAATGAATTATTTGATCATTAATATGAATTAAAAATATTTAAGGGTTATTATCTAGTTTGGGAGATAGAGAATGTCTCCATGTGTCTGTCAGTCCATCTGTCCAGGAAATAACTCAAATACTGTTGGTGGAATCCTGTTTTCCTGCATATTGAGAAGCCCTTACTCCATTCGTTGATCCCTCTGTCCATCCAAGTATCAGTTCAAATTTTATAGGTTGGTGCCTCATGGGTGAAGATTTTTGCTCCAAATGCATGTAGGTACCCAGTTCAAAATTATTTATGATTTGCTGTTTTCCAAATTGAAGTGGACTTTACAGAGGAGGGCAGTCTGCTGGGTCATTTTCTTATTTTCATGTTTTGATTGGTCCATTCTGGTCTTATGACAATTGTATGTTAAACTGATTATGTCATTGCTCTCAAGAACTATTTAATTGAATAGATAAATAAATCAAATCATGTGGCTAAAGAAATTGTGTAAGGCCCCTGGGGTAAGGTCAATTTAATACATAATACATTTATTATGTTTTTCTGTTTTTCAGGATATTCATGGTTGTTGCTGCGTCAACCCAGGAAGACTAGCCAAGGGTTTGGTAGGGGGTACCTACTCTAGACTCGTTGTTTCCTCCTCGTTACAGCCACAAATAGCAGCTAAAGTTGTGAAAATATGAACTGACTGTTATGCTTTCAAAGAATTATTCAGTGGTAAAATGTCACAGAGGTCATGTTTTAAAATGCAAAATAATGTCAGTTTTCATGGTTTTAGAGAAATTATTACTGTTCTTCTACTTCATTTTGGCACTTCTTATTTTTGGTCGATTTGCAGTTTTCAGAAATGTTTTGGAATGAAGGCCAAGTATCATAAAATATTTTTTCTTAGAAAACGCAGCTGGCTTTTTTGGACTTTCCTCTTCTTTTAGAATCAATAATTTATACAAATATAATGTAAAAAATATTTAAATATTTGAAATGATTTCATCATTTCTTGCTATCTGGCCCTCTGGATATTTATTTTGCATGGGAGTTCAGTAAAAGGATATATAAAGATTTTTAAAGGCCAATGGGCATTTATTTTCAGGGAAATTATCAAAATTAGTTCTTCAATTGATTGAGATTCAATCAATCTGAGTCCCTTCTTCGTTTCAGATTTATCCTAGTTTATGTTTGAGGACACACAGTTTGACATTTTTAGCTCACATGGTGAGCTTTTGCAATCGCTCACTTGTTGGTAATAAAGAGCCCTAGTTGATAATTCATAGTTTCAAAGTGGCCCACGTAGTTATTTGAAACTGCCTTAGAATCCATTTTACTAAATATTTGCAAATATATTCTTGAAAGATCAGATATTAGAATAGTTTTCTGCTTTGTCACAGATGTATTGCCTATTGGGCTCAAATGCTTTCAAATAGAGAATTACTGTACCCCTTTTTTTCAAATTAGTGGCCATAGGCAAAACAGTAAGAAACTCCATTAAATATACAAGTTCCATAGTGATAAAGCACAGTGAGATTCATCTTTGATCTGCACAATTCATAAAACAATTTTCTTGTCAACTCAATCCTTCTTAGGCTGAAGAACAATGAATATTAAACCCCTGTAAGTTTATAGGTTCATATCATTGTTCTCCCTTGTTAAAAGACATGGGTTTCCAAAGGTCTTATTAATTAATTACAGAATCATACAAATCATACAAGCATGCTGTGGTTACCGTAGACTATTAACCTTAAGCTGTTTCCCAAGAACAATCCTATATACGACAGTCACACCAGCACGTTTAATAATATATTTCTTCCTTAAGACTTTCCTGTCAGAAAATGATTATTTGTTTTCTAGCACATAGACATACACGTGTGAATTATCGCACGTTTTTGTTCTTCACAAATGTGTAATCTAACTCTCCCCTTCTCCCAGTGTGTCACTAAATAATCATTGTATTAAGGAAAATACACAGCAGTAACAAATCTCTTACTTTTATTTGTTCTGGAGTCTAACTACTATTGGCCTTTTATGGATGGAATGGATTTGATGGCTATACACTGATACAGTGTTAACTGTCTTAGCATATTATACATTTGTGGTTGAAGAGAAATTGTATTATTACTCAATACTTCAATATTAATCTTTATTATTTCCCTGTGATGATAATCAGAATGTGATTGGTCAGTCATGTACCATGTGAATAAAAATACCACAAGGTATTCCATCCATGTATAAGTCCTTGATATGAAAGGTGTATTTAAAAAAAAAATACAGGTATTCGAAGAATGTGACGTCACGTGTATAGGCTACTGAAAACATGTGGTATTATTTGAGACACCATTTAGTTAATTAATGAATATTGTTTAACTGTAAAATGTATTTCTTCTTTTCTACTCAGATTTTTGTTATATACCTAAATGAGTGAAATAATAAAACAAATATTGAATTCTGTTTCGTGCAATACCTGTATATATTTCTAGGGGATGTATTCCACTTACCATTCGGGCTGCGTGGAATACACCCTCAGAAATATATACAGGTGTTGCACTCAACATCATTCAATATTTGTATAGTATTATGACCATTTAGTAGAGAAATATTCAACAATTGTACAAACTGTAAAAATGTATATAATGCATGGTATGTACCGAGGGAATAAACATATTTATATAAATCTATAATACAGATTGTTATGTTTTTAAGTTTATTCTGTGGATCATCTCTAAAGTATACAGTACTATAGGCTTTCAAGTCAAGGGAAGTGAAGACACCAGAAGTGTTGACATATTGTTATAGTCTCCAACTTTTTATGAATAGTGTTCAGCCTATGTAACAAATGGTAGGTGGTGACATTTTGCATGTTAATGTCTTGTCCATTATACCGATTCATGGGCATAGCGCCTGTTACACACAGTATGCCAGTGCGTACCAAATGAATTTGAAAAAAATTAAAAATGTAAATGCAATAATTTGTTTGCACATTTATTGATGATTCTGTATAATGGCTTCAAAAAAACGAACCCCCAAAGATGCGCAACCTTCTGTATTCTGCCATGCTAATCCCCACTCATTGATCTATACATTACACGCGACATAAAAATAAGAAGACTTATTCAAAGGCAATCCCGGTGACGTCAGAAAAAAGGCTTATTCAACAAGCATATTCTCCAAGTCCATTGTTTCGTCCGGTATAAATCTGAAAGTGATACGAAAAAATCTAATTATTCTTGTTCTTATAAGATATCCCCAATAGTAAGAGCAGTGGCGTAGCCAGGATTTGGTGACCGGGGGTTCTATTTTTATGTTATTCACAAATCCCCCCCCCCCTTCATTAGGGTTCCTCAAATAATGCAATTTGTACAATTACACTACCTCCAAAAGTTTGGGAATCCTGACTAACCCATTGGATTATGTATTAAAGCATCTCTAGGTTTGAATTCTTATATGCATAATATGTAAAGAAAAAACTATTTTGGGAGGGGAAATATAATTCATTTTAGTACCTTCATTAAGTTAAGTAGACAATTGAATTTGAATTTTATTTAACAAAAATGATGTTTTTATTTACTGAAAGTAATAGGCTTTATCAAGAAACCTCTCCCATTGAAATAACACAGGACGTAAAAATGATTTTCAAAAATGGCCTTGCAGCTTTGTAACTTTAATGTTCACAAAGTAAAATAAACAGGCAACCATGCAAAAAAGTCAGACAACTTATAATGAATTTTCTGCATCAAAATATATTTCGGTGAATCTTTTACTGGATACATATCCTGAAATCTGATTTGCCCCAAATCCACCATTATTTCAACTGATTTCTGGAAGACCCTGGAGCATGATTTGTTTCCAAGGAATATCAACTATTTCGCACAATTTATTCTTTAACTTAAGCTACTTCATCTAGGACAAAATAAATCACCTCGTGCAATGGCTTATCATTGTTTTTCAAGAATTTTGTTGGAAGCCAGTTCGGATCAAATACAAGGTTATTGAAATTGACGCAAACACCCATATACTCCGAAAGATCGTTCTTCTATGATAACTTTACACAAAGTATACACGAAGGAAGTTAACTATCCGGGATAGTCGTATTACTGATAAAAATATATATTATTCAAATAAGTGGGTCTAGGTTATGCTTTGTTTTAAAAAGTTAAAAATATTTCTTTGGACGTCCTCGGAGCTCAGTGGTAAGTCCCCCGGAGCAGATCAACCGCAATTGATAATAAAAACGTTTTAGTGGATATAAATCATATATAAATACAAGCGACTGTTATTTTGTTAAGTTCAGACGGCTTGATAACAAATTAGGCCTTCATTATTTGAAGATTTATACCATATGATTTTTCAATGTTTTTTTATTATATAATTTATTCGCTAAACATATCATGACATTAACATGAAAATGGAGAGCAATTCAACTGGAACGATAACAATTTGAATTCTATACAATCTCTTAGATGAGTGGAGTGTATCTGAAAAGACTAAATCATTTTTTGCAATGATTGATTTTCTTTGGAAAAGTGATGGGTAAATAAATACTGAACAAATGGAAGAATGAATAAATTTGAACAAATGCTTGTGTTTACAAATGATATACGCTTTTAAATAATTCATTTCACAACGTTATTTCGGGGACTTGCCAGCCCCAGGGACGTCCCAAGAAATACTTTAAATTTTAATTGAAATAAAACAAAACAGAGATGTACACATTTGAAAGAACATGTGTTTCATCAATATTACGACTATTCCAGATATTTATTCGTCGATGTTGTAAAAATCATTCGGAGTATGGGACGTCTGCATTGTTTTCAATAACTTTCAATAACTTCGTATTGGACCAGAACTGGCTTAAAACAAAATTCCTACAAATGACTGATTTAGCCATTGCCAAAAATGGGTTATTTTGTCCGAGAAGAAGCAGCTTTTAAGTTAATTGTGCAAAAGTATTGTTATTTCTAAATGTAAAATCTCATGCTATGGGGCCTTCCCTTAAATCTCATCCAGTGCCTAGGGTTGCCAAACGTTTTGAGGGAAGTGTAACTTCACTATGACATGTTTTTGACAAAATTAGGCTCTCGTGTTCACCATAACAAATATTAAATCATTTACTGCTCATATATGTAGTTTTCAAATAGCACACTGTAGTAATTTAATATTTCTGGTGATATGCATTTTCCGCAAAATGATATCTTGGGAAATCCTGACCGGGGGTTCGTTCGAACCCACCGAACCCCCGCTGCCTACGGCTATGAAGAGAGTCATGTATATAACATTGAATAATAAAACAAATATTTCATTATCTGTGAGAGATCCTTAGCTTTTAGTAATATCGAATTTTAGTAAATGTGATGTCTTAGGTTATCTTCAGATGAGCTATAAACTTAAATAGAATGTTAGAGAACATCTCTACATATTTTGATTTATTTGAAAGAGATCCTTAGCTTTTAGTAATATCTAATTTTAGTAAATGTGATTGTAGGTTATCTTTTCAAATAATCTATAAACTTAAACCAAAATAGAATGTCAGAAAACATCTCTACATGTTTTGACTTATTTGGAAGAGATCCTTACCTTTCAAATTAGCTTTAGTATTTTGTGAAGTGACTTCACTCATTTCTAATGTGATAATGGGAAGATCCAGTTTTCCAGAAACGGGGAATTTTTCAAACGAAAAGAAACTAGGAGAATGATGACAGATATTTTGGTACTTTTATGGTTTTGGTTGTTCTATAGGCCTATCTGATAATAATACGATGAATCTTTTGAAAATAGCCCATAATGGTAATATTAATGGAGTTCCAAATCTTTTGTTAATGATAACATCTTTTGGCATAATGAATGCATTTTTGTAAAACTTCAGTTTTTCTCAAATAGCCTTAAGTATACACTTTTGGGATTTTTAGAAAATAAACAAGACAAAAATAATATGAGCCCAAAGTATTCTAAAATTGAAAAAGTCTTTGTTCAAGGACTATTGCCTCCTTGCTCCTTTTTCATAAAAATGACTCAAATATTTTCTCAGTTTTCTTATGATTTCCGAACATTAAGAAAATCATTGAATGCTCATAATGTCTTTCTAACATGACTAATGAATTCAAATTCATTTGAATCAGATTTTCAAATTATTGGAATGCCCTGGTCAATAGAAGTACAAGTGTTCATAAAAATGCAGAGTCGCGCAAATGCAAAAAACTCGAAATGAGAAACCTTATCTGACCGCTTTTAGCCAATCCCAATGGCATTCAGGCATTTAGCAAGGTTTTATTGCAAATTACCCAATAGCTACTATGTAGCAATGTGATCAATAACATAGTCAACAAAAATATAGAGAAAATTGTTAATCTAATTATTTTACAAGCTAAAGGCACTGCATGAGGCAAGTATAATCATACTTTCTACCAATGTTTGATTCTTCATTCAGAATTAAAAGCTGGTGTACTCTTATTTTCACCTAGCCTGCCCAAGGATATAGTCCATAGAGGAGTCACCTCCACTCTAATAACTCCATAGACATCACATTTACAAACACGTGCATTAGGATTTGCATGACGTCTTACCCTCTTCGAAAACATATCGGATGACATTTTTTCATAAACTGGCGTGTCATTCAATACAGGCTAGTAGAAGGCTTGTTATTTAATAATGGATGTTTAGCTCAAAATAAACACAATTATACTAATTAATTATTGAATTTTGCATTAACTATTCCTCACATCTAACGTTTCCTATTCAAGTCCTGGGAATCAAGTACAAAATGAGTGTCATGGATCCAGTTTTACCAAAGCTAGGAATTTACTGTTCATGTTTCCATCTTGATCAATGATCATGATGAACTTCATATCTGTATTCTAGCTGCTGTTACCTTCCTTTTAAAAATGGTGGCTTGTAAATGCTGATTTTGATGTATTTGGTGTAATATCAAATTAAACACTACACCAAATTTGTTTGGCACAGAACCACCTAATCATATATCCGTAGCAAAGTAGTTTAATCTGACTTTTTGAAAGGAAGGTAATAACAACCAGTGTTATTGGGGTTTGTTTTCCTGACCAGTTTTCAAATTTCCTTTTTATACCTGTATTTATGTCACCACCAGAAATGACATATTGTTAGTCTCCAACATTTCTGTGGCTGGTGTAGGGTGGATGGATTTCGGTGTCTAACAAATAGAGGGTGGTGAAATTTTGCACGTTAATACCCTGTTACTTTTTGGTAAGATATAATGATTTTTTTGAGACTGTATGTGAAATTACTGAGAACAAAATGGTTGGAAAATTATATATATTGCAATTTTGTCATGTTCTGTATGTCTGGCCCTAGCATTAATGAACTGCAATGTTAAAAACAGGGACAGTCACTGTAATATAGTAGAGGTAATTGAAAATGTAATAATAAGCCACTGAGAACACAATGACGTCAATATCAGTTTGTTAAGGCACAGTAAAAACTAATTTTCTGTTTATCGTTGGTTTATTATCCAGTGTATAAAACCAATAATGTACAATATTTACAGATCTTGGTTATAAAGCTATTTTCATATTTACACTAGATGATACTGTTTCATGGTCTGAAGCAATACACTGTTATAAATTCATGTGATTACAACGCTGAAGTTATTTCTGATATCTTGAAAGCTCTTAATGGAAAACACTATAATGGAAATAGAAAGGAAAAAGAGAGTAAAAGGGTTTTTCAGTAAAATTTATGAGTTAATTTTTGAAAGAAGACATGAAGTACTTTTATCCCATGAAGCCTGCCTTGTTAGCATAAAAATTATCAGTGGTGTAGCCAGGATCAAAAATTAGACAAGGCAAACAAAAATAAGACGAGGAAAAATTAGGCTATATGAGATACATTTTGGACTTTATTCCACAGTTAACAGACATCTAAAATAATTTCTTTCTGTAAAATTTAGGTTAGGCTGTTGCCTCACCTGCCCCATGCCTGGCTACATCCATGATTATATTATTAAATATGCACCAGTCATCCTGCTAGGGTTAAATCATATACATGAACACTCAATTACTGCAAATTAGATAGCATAATTTTGTTATTACAGGTGTACTTGTCTGCTAAATCATGCAATGTACTCCTGCTTTAAAGTCAAATTCTGAAATAGGCTACTGAATATTTCAATCTGGCTAAACTTATTTGGAAGCCTAGTTACACATTTTTCAACATATAACCTACCCGAGTTAATACATTACCGGATTTTCTCGCATATACGCCCCCCTAAATTTAGGCCCATGGGCCAAAAATCGAATGTAGTACGCTTATACGCCCATGGGCCTATAAAAAATGACTATTTATTGATTTTTTCAATAAATTCAAGATTATTTAGTCACTGGCAGATCGTTCTGTCGTTACTTTGTTTCAGCATTAAGTTCAACGCTGTGCCGTAAGTGGCAGTGATGGATTGTTCTGTTGTTACTTTGTTTCAACATTAAGTCCAAGGTTGTAGGTGACATTTCCTTTATAATTCTTACAAAACATGCGGTAGGACTACAACAGTAGGTACGGTAGTCCATTGTATTCATCAGCTCTTCTCACCTTTACGCCCACTGGGCCAAAAATCGAAAGTAGTACACTTATACGCCCATGGGCGAAAAATAAGAGGTAAAATAATAGACGAAATTACCCCTTCTTTCAGTTATACGCCAAAAATCGAAAGTAGTACACTTATACGCCCATGGGCGAAAAATAAGAGGTAAAATAATAGACGAAATTACCCCTTCTTTCAGTTATACGCCCAGGGCTTATATGCGAGAAAATCCTGTAAGCATTAAATTTCCCTCCCACATTCGAGAAAATCCCCTTTTCAGGATTTGGATGCTTTTCCTTAAATCAATTCATTAATTGTTCATTAAAATTCAAAAATTATACAAAAAGTATGCTGATTTGAGCAAATATTCTCCAAAGTTTCAATTTTGAGTAAATTTGAATTCATGATAATCATGGAAAGATTAAAATTGATTTGTTTGCTGGTTGGCCTTTCATTCTAAGATACAATTTCATTCAATTTCCTGCTCTATCAAATATATGCACCTTACATCACTAAGTAATTTAATTTATTCTTTAAACAGACCTTCAAAGACCTTCTAGACCTACTAAACAAAATAAGCCCAGGAATAATGATGGTTCTTATAGCTCCATATACTGATTCAAAGATCCCAGACTGCACAATAACAGCACCAAGAGTCCACACATGTGGTTAATATTTACACATATTCCTTCAACTGTCTTTTGAGGAATATCTCAATCTTTGGCATCTCCTATGCCATCTGCATTGATTGCAAACATTGCCTCTGACTCTGGTAAACATGGGGAGTCATAGATCTTACATATCCTCGTCTCTCCACGCCCTTTTCTCAGATATAACCTGGAAACACATCACAGTGCATTTATTTCTATGTACTTTAAATTGCTTAAATTGGCAATTCACAAGTTCTCTGCTTGGATTTGAATCTCTCTGATTTTTATACCAAGCCATTTTAAGAGATTTTCTGAGTTAGTTCAAATTAAGATTTCTCATCCACTAAATCAAATAGTCGACTATGTACAGATGGTGAAAATTAAATAGTGCAAAATTTAACCAATTTACAATACTGTATATAAGACTACTCAACTCAATATGAACAATATATACAGCTAACCCAGTGGATTGTTTAATATCACAAACCATGACTGATTTATAGAGGTTTTATCTCAGATCATCAAAAGCATAGGGCCAAATCATACAATGAACCAAAACTACACTTTCTATATTAATTTGTTGAAGCGTCTTTGATTGAAATATTCAAATTGTGAACATGAAAATTTGATCATTTTTAAATCAGCAATTCGTATTTGAGTATGAATATTTAATTTTTTCTTAAAATATTTGTTTGCCTTGGGTTTGTGCTTTCTGATCTGTGTTAAGTTGAACATTTTTCTGTAAACCTTCTAAATGGATGGTTGCTTCTGTTCCACGTTTTTATCATTTTTCTATGATAGATTGCTCAAGTACATGTTTATTTCAATTTCTTTTAATTAATCTTGATCTGTCCACACAAATGTCATCTACATTTATTTACCTGGTAGTTGAGGCATGTGCAATTATATTTCCACCAATTGGTTTTTTAGGGTCTGCAGAAAACATAGCAGCGCCATCTACTTGAGCTACTACTTGATTAGATATCACCACGGCGACACCAAACTGAAAGACAAAATAAAGAATAACTTGTACAATTGTATAATACAATCATTTTGAAGAAATTCTCAGAAAATCAAGAGACTAAAAGTATAATAAAACAAGACACAGATTAAACAATATTGCACCCTTGAATAGAATATTTATCAGAAATTTTCCCGGCATGCCAAAAAGATAATAAATTCTTGATGGTATGAAAATGAATCCACGTAAAGTTTGACTGAAAATGCAGACAAGACTTTACAGACAAGATTTTAGGACAGAAAAACCAAAATGCCAAAAAACAAATCTGTTAAGAGATTGTCAATACCAACCAAGAAGCATCCCTGATAATTTGACAGAAGAAAGAAGAAATCTGAGGATGTATATTTCAAAAATGGCCACTTGAGATTTACATAACATGCCCTAAAACTGATCAGCCCTAGATGTCCATGGCATTAAAGATCCCTGAAAATTTAAATTGAATCCATGAAGCAAAATGACTGAAAAAGTGTGTAGAATCCAAATTTGGCAAGTTTTTCACCCAGCATATCCAAAATCTAATCTGTTTAAGCTTTTAATACATAGAACAGAAGCATCACCTGTTCAGTAATTGCAAATGGTTACAAAAGTGTAACAATTTGTTACAGATGCTGAATGATAATCATTAAAGAAACAGTGGACACAAAAGTATGCCACCACTTCTTATTTACCTCATCAGCTAGACGTAAAAGGGTTCTCAGGAACCTTGCAAGATGCATTTGTCGGGCTGATAGTTCCCCTCTCCCTGAGTAGTCTGTCCTGTATAGGGCTGTAGCACTGTCAACTATTAGCAAGGCATACCTAAATATAACAACAAAACATTAAAGGTGCAACACATGGTTCATGGCTTAACAACGCTCAGTAGTTGAAATATGTTCATCTGAATAGCATTCTTTTCAATACTTCTATGCAAGTAATAATAAAAAACATGAAAATGGTGGCCATTTTGAAACATACATTTCTAGCTTAATCAATGTCCTATATAAGCTTTTACATTTAAAACATATTGCAATACAATTTTACATATTGTACCTAAATTACTGTAAAATCGGCACTAAAATGGCCGCCATTTTCAAATGAGCAGTTTTGAAAATCGGCTTTCGAGCAGAACTTCTACCCCCATAGGGTAAATGTGTACAAAATATGAACAAAATCAGGTCAACGGTATTTGAGTTATTGACTGGCCAGACCGACAGACGGATGGACGGACAGATGGAGGGGGATGGAGATGGAACTTTGTTCGATGGGATAATAAATGAACTCAACATTGACCTGCTCCTTACATACCTTGATTCAGCCATCATAGCAGCAGCTTGTAGTAACAGTTGGTTCTGATGGTCTGAGTTGTAGGCCCTTGCATATGCCACGTTGTCCAACACATCTTTGCCAGAAAGACCATACCTACAATACAAAACAGTCACCTAAACTGTGGAGTATTTTTCCACATCTTGAATCTCAATTTTTCATTCAAAGTATTTTGTTTTGCATTCACTACATCAGGTCATTAAAAACATATGATAGAGTAATCAAGGACTGCTATATAAAAATAGATTTTTGGAGAGGAATGAACCACTAATCACAATGTAAAAGGTATTAACATGAGCCAACAATATATTTACAATGAAGTAATTGGATAATGTAATAGATTCAAGGTAAATGATGTTTACAACATGTAACAATGTAAATAAATATTGATTTTATCATAATTCTGAAGGTGCTTCAGTAAGAACAATTCTTACTTTTCTGCCACAGCCAGTAGCCTTTCAGGTCTAAATGTGCCCTCTGTGTCGATGTACATTGCACGACCTTCCCCACCACCTACGTCTATAGGCATCTACAGTAGACATAAATAATTAAAAATAACATACTATGAACGCTGCTACCAGTTGGGTTAAACAGAGTTTACTGGTGTAACAGGAGATCATTTTACGATGCCTGGATATGCCATGGTTTTAAGAATAGTTGTTGTTGGTCAAGGAGTCACGTGTTATATGAATATAGCAAGCAATAACTTCATTTCAAAGGGCAACATCGTGAAATCTTGGCTATTTTACTATGTTGCTCGCTGAAATGAGGTGATTACTTTTATCACCACTGTATTGAAAACTAAGTACAAACACAAATTATGACAACCTATATGGTGTGTCACTTTGCTCAAGTCAATAAAGTAAAATAAAATATAAACCTTCTATTGCTTAACAACTATTTCTCAAAGTCAATATCATAAAATAGCCTTCTAACCAGTACTAATACCATGAGAAAAGGCCTCACATTGTGGTGATAATGGATGTCGTCAATCATAATAATGCATCATGTATGAAATTTAAATCTGACAGATGATTGGAAATAGATTCTTTGAGTGTGTGTTACCATCAGGTTATTTCACCACGAAGTAGTATTATAACAAACTTGTAATTTACACCTGCGAAGTGTAATATACAACAAAAGCCATGTTAAATATTTATAATAGCACTATGGTTGATTCCATAATTAAAACCTACAGCTCGTGAACAGCTAATTAGAATTATGAGTGTATGATGCTACAATTAATACTGTCAGGGATCTCGCCAGGCTTTTAGACTGTGGCGCAGCACCACACTCTATTTAGCTCCCTCCACAACCTATTGGCAAATCATGACTGTTTCAACAGTCTAAACCTGACTGAATAAACAATAATAGCATGTAAAAAGGATAAAACATAATATAAATATGATTTATCACGACTGAACGGAACGGTTATTCTGAAGATGTTAGCACCACACCCTAAATATTTCCTGGTGAGAGCCCTGACTGTGGTATGTAGCCTACTTTAAATAAATATGTTTACTTACTTGGCAAGTGACGGCTAAAGTGTGACATAGCTGAGTTTTTCCTGTTCTGAATTCTCCAAAAATTTCTGTTATTGATCCTGTTTCTATTCCGCCTATCAAGATACAAAAGTAAAATGCATTGTCACAAATAGTCACCACATTGCACAAAGTATTAGACCAAAATTAACTACTATCTTGAAAGTCAAAGATGAACACTTCATTTCCATGATAACCCAAAGTTCTTTCGAAAACCTACATGTTCAAGTCCCATGGCATATTTTGTTGCCATGTTAACTTTCAAAGATTAACACTTTCCCATGTGAACGTAAGAGGAAAATATTGGCCTGATGACTAAAAAGTAAAAGCATTTTTAGGGAAAAATTGCAAATTACCTATTCCCTGGAACCTATACTTTAAATCTTAATAGTGAAATACAATTCTTAAAAGAGTTATCACATTTCAAGTTGTCAAAATTTGGTGTAAAAATACTGAAACGAGATATTGACAGCTCATTGATGTATACAAATAAAATTTAAAAAATGGTGCCGGAAGGAGCCTATCGTCCTGAAAAGTATTACATAATAGGCTTCCATATGGAGCCTATTGCCATGAATTTAAAAGGTAAAATTTTAAGCTACCTTGTAATAACTTGTCCAGCTCCTTTGATCCTGTTGTAATCTGTATGATCTCAGATCTTTTCTGATGAAACTCTGTGGCAGTAGTGAAGCCCATGGGCACCATCTTCTGTGACTCTCCCTGTAGAGTGCATACAGGGTGAGTCATAAATGTGACATATTAATTAGGTCCTATGTAGCCCTATCAGACTTTATTACCTCGTGATTTATGATAGAATACCAATTTATTTCTCATTTTTTGTCAAACAGATTTCAACTTCATGTTTTACTAACGTTACATGTTTCTTGATTATTCAATATTTATTCAAAATTTGGTGACTAATATGTCACCATTGATGAGTAGCTAGTTATTTACCAGTAATTTATCAGCTTTAGCCTCACTTATGCCTTTGATGCCAAGTAGGGCTTTTTTAGGAGCAAAAGCAACAGATTCTATTGTATGAAAACCAGCTTCTTCTAATTTCTTCACATCATTGGCACTTATACCAGACGCCTACAATGAACAAATAAATTACAATTAAGAACATTAAAAATGGAGGATATAATGATACAGTATATTAGAACTTGCATCTGTGTACCTCTTATAGTGATCACATTGATCGAAATATAACATTTTGGCCTAATGTCATCCTCCGATCACAGGGCTTCAAAATCCAGAATACTTCTTTCTTTTTACTGTGATAAGCAGTTAGCATTTCCCCGATTAAGAAATCGCAATTTGATTCACTGTCGCAACATTGCGACATCAAACATTGCGACATCAATCATGTACACTTCATAGGCGCATAATAAGATCACATGATTCAGTTTTATCTGGTGCTTCCAAATTGGTTATAGCAGGGGGACAGGGGAAAAATGACCTAATGTGGATATATTAACTCTTGTGTTATCAAAGTAAAGCCTAAATGTGAATATATCAGTGTTCACTTTAGACAGGTTCAGTTGCATTGTATACATATCTGATCCACAGGCCTGTCAACTTGGGAACACCTAACATGAGTGACTTGGAAATGTTGAACACCTCCCCTCAAAATGTGGACACATTGGTCCAAATCTGAACACCTTGATCCAAATTTTGAACACCTTGGTTTAAATGTTATTACATCTTGCCAAATTTTGAACACCTCAAATTTCGAACGGAATGTGTGACATATACCTAATTCGCGTGAAAAGTCTGAACGAAATGCGTACGTTTTTTTTCTACAGAAAGATTTTTGCTTGACAATTACCAGGTAAAATGCGTATTTGCGTGACATTTTCTGTCACGCAAAAATAACTGGCGTGACTTCAAATTCTTCAGCAAATGTGTGACAAATACGCAAATTGCGGGACAGTTGACAGGCCTGGATCCAGTGATCTCACTAACAGAAAGTGCATCAAGTTTTTTTTCGGCATTCGTATTTTTGCTGTGTAGACGAACTTTTTTAGAAATTTTTCTACAGAAAGATTTTGCTTGACAATTACCAGGTAAAATGCGTATTTGCGTGACATTTTCTGTCACGCAAAAATAACTGGCGTGACTTCAAATTCTTCAGCAAATGCGTGACAAATACGCAAATTGCGGGACAGTTGACAGGCCTGGATCCAGTGATCTCACTAACAGAAAGTGCATCAAGTTGAGATTATAAAATTTACCTTGAACAACTTGTCGAGTGTATGTTTTTTTCTGGGTCAGACAAGGACAGACAATTTTTACACCAAGTTTTCAACCCCTAGGGACAACAGAATACTCCCTAGCGTCTGCTTTAAAAGGAAACACGATTTAATAAGCTTGCTTGAAATATAATCTTCCTATGTTATTATACCTTAAGGGATAATGGAAAGTTCATATTCTTGTTGACGCAAATATATAGAAACAAGAAGCAGGTATCAATCGCAAATAAGATACTAAAAACATGTTTGGGGCTTGATTGAACTGGTTCAAGCTTGAATAGATATAGTATAGTGAAACACTCCATTTAACTTATTACATGTACATTTCTGAATAACGTTAGTGGTGTGACATAATGTTATGACTAAAACTTTGTTCTTATTTCACAGTATTCAAAAAATCAGGAGAAAATGGTATCAATTGGATATCACTCATTTTTGTATTATCACTAGTCCTCCATCTTCACACGCTCTGTCTTCACTGTGCTCATGACCGACCGAAGGGAGCCGAGTAAACGAAGATGCTAGTGCTCAGGATTATGTTGATTATGGCATTTGCCAAATTCATTAAGAAAACAAAACATATTTACCTCCAATCTGCCTATTGGCTGAGGTCCGAGGTTTTCCTCTTCAATTTCTTGGTCCTCTTGTCTCTCTACTTGCATTGCCATCTTGGTGATATGGATTTCTCAAAATATATGGAAATGCCTGGTGTTACAACTGGGTCTACAGTTAGGTATTCTACTCTTAAATGTTGTTTAATTGTTCGTGATTTACTGCATCTACAAATAAAACATCAATGTAGTTAATATGTGAATATTTATTATTTGGCATTGGATATTTTGTATTAGGTTATGTGCTTAACTGTCATTCATTTAGTTACCAAGTGAAATTCTGAAAACTACAAGAGCACACCAGAATAGCCTTACAATGGTAAAGCCAGATACAGTTATCACAAATGGTGGACATAACCCTCGCTTCAATTAGATTTTCATGAACTGTATGTTTAATAGAGCACCTAGACTAAATTCTTTTGGAACAACAATCAATCAAAGTGTCTTTATACTCATTGTAAAGTTAATAATGTTCTACCATCGAAACAAAGTCTTTAATTTAACCGATCAAAATGAGATATGGGACAACGGACACTGTATTACCATATGCCGTTGTCTTTGTAAATTATTCCAAATTCAGATTCTATTGACATTGACGATGTTTGAAGTAGTGCTTGCAACGGTAATGGATCTCACTGCCGGTAATTTTCACCTCCATTACCTTGCCGTTACCGATAATCGTTGATACTGATAATGTTTCTGAAATCCCCGGGAAAAAAGCTGAAAGTGAAACTAAAATATTTGGAAAAATCCACAACGAAGCCGGCATTACCGTAACGCACTAGTTTGAAGACGCTATATTATAGCGATTCATGACCCAATTTGATCAAAATTGGGATTTTATATGATACATCCTCACAAGAACTTAATACATGAACAGAATTAGCGATGACAAAATCCCATGAAATGAGAACCAAGTGATTAAAGAGTTGAAGCGACGGTTATGTCCGCCATTTGTGACAATGATATCTGACTTTACCGTTGTCAGGCTATTCCGGTGTGAAAGGGTCAAAGCTAGCACAGATGTTTATATGTATATCGATTATTAAAGATATACAAAGGTCTAACCAACTCCATTTACAGTACACATTTTCAGGCTACTTTCTCTTTATTAAACAACTGCAATGCTCATTTCCAAAAGAATGTGTGTAATGCAGAAAATCAAGATTAATTTTTGAGAAAAAGTTTTTACCTTCTTTTTGAGAGAAAACCCTCAAACACATTTTCCATTGAAGTTGTCACATGCACAGATAGTCAATTTTTTTCAGTTTTGTGTTCAGAAAATTATCGAGGAGGATTAGCTCCGGGACTGCAACATCGATATTCTGTCCCATATATGGTATGGAGTCCTCTAACCTTATTTACACTTGACATGTTTCTGGAACCTGTCATGTGTAATTAAGGTTAAAGGTCATCATACCATATATGGAACAGAATATCGATGTTGCATTCCGGGGGTCAATCCTCCTTGGAAATTTATTTCGAAAATTTTCTATTGCTTGAGAGCTCTTGAAACCATACAGGAAAGGGTGATACAGTAAAAAGATAACCCGGGGTAGACTGCCCCTACTTTAAAAGGAAAGTGTAGGAAATATATTCTCTCCTCCCAATTATGTTGAAATACCGGATGAAATTGCCTAGTTAAAAAGTCAGATGAGCACCTCTGCAATTTCAAAATGTCAAAACTTTTGTGATCTTTTAGAAATAAATGTTAGAATTGATTGAGGTAAGAAATAGTTATGTACTGAGATAGTGCCAAAAATTATCATATACGAAAAATAAGCAATTCGTTGAGTGCTCCGCTTGACTATATGACAACAAGGCTTTAACATGCAAAATGTCATCACCTTAGTCTCAGCTCACAGTGGTGATTTCATCTAAATTACATGATTGGTTTTTGTCTCATGCCAGTGCCACAAAACTTGACAGCTTGCAAATTGCGAGATCAATTCATAAACTCACGAGTGGTGAACTATTATTAACAAAACTCAAAATTTGTTCTGCGAGGATTTCTAATGAATGTTGTATGAATTTTTGGTATTTTGACAAAGTAATGATTGGGGAATGTAAAATATTGCATTTTTCAAAAGTCAGTAGAAAATTGCCAAATATCTCCAGGAATTTGACAATGACATGTTTTTCATGCAGTGTACGTTTGGTTATAAGAAAGGTACCAAGATGGCTGGGCAGTTTCAATTTATAGAAACAAGAAATGAACTAGGCCAGAGGAAAGGTAGTATGTATCCAACAGACTGACTAGAAGTCAATCTGTTATGATGTACTAGTCTACTGTCCTGTGGAAATTGCAGTGAATTTTTTTGCACAAAATTATCAAATACAGGAACCATTTCTTCAATAAAATAAACATTACAAAAATTCAATTAAGTAGGCCTAGTGTTAAAAAGTAACACAGCATATTATCAAGTGAAAATAAAGCTAGTTGAAGTAACAAATATGCAAATTAATTCACTCCATCAGCCATTTTGAATAGCACTTCCTATGTTAACAAATATTTTGAATTACCATAGGTAACGACGTGTGGGGTAATGTCTACATAAGAGACGGGGTAACTTTGACACATACGTATTAGAAGTAGAGTTTCCGTTTTCTGCCATGTTTGATTTCTGGAAAAATTAAAATCTCACGAGATCTTGATCCATGCGGGAAAAAAACATGGCGTCCCCGAGATCGGAAATTAGAACAAATAAACAACAAGGTGTCGAAGTTACCCCACATGTCGAAATTTCCCCAAAATGGTCTCGACGTTACACCCCTTTGCCCTTTATTCAGACTACATGTAAATACTAAATAGGATATAGTCTAAGGGGAAAGGGGTCTTACAGTATCCATGGGCATTCAATAGAGGGTATGCAACTCCGTGTTATAACATGACAACTTCAAAATGAGCGGTGCCATGCTTCCCTTTTTTGGTAATATTTCAAAAGGATTTAGATTAAAGTATATGTTGCATCATCTTGAAGGAAAAACAATTTTGAATATGATTAAACCATTAAACATGATTAATCTCACCTAAAAGTAAACAAAAAAGACCAATAAGGAAAAGAGGTATCAAAATGTTCTCTTCGAGTGTTGCATTGTGGGTAATATTCAAGAATGCATTCAAATGAAAAAATATATTTTGTGGGGGAATGCTCAGTTTCATTATTGCCATAATCATGATGAATTTCATATTTTCCTATTAAATTATCAACATGTATGCAGATAATCATGTTTTTATTTTTGGGTTAGAAATACCATACATGAAAAGCACAGAACAAGATTTTCCTTGGAATGTTAGCCTTGCCCAAGTCTGTATTTTTTTTTACTTATCTGATCTTGAATTATTACTGCCTTGTGCAATCCAATACATCTCCAGTGATATTATGCTGAGATATTCAAAGGTTTCGAGATTTCGATAATACCTACGCCAGGGCTCTCGTCAGGCTTTTAGACTGTGGCGCAGCACCACACTCTATTTAGCTCCCTCCACACCCTATTGGCAAATCATGATTGTTTCCACAGTCTAAACTTGACTGAATATACAATAATAGCATGTAAAAAGGATAAAACAAAACATAAATATGATTTATCACGACTGAACGGTTATTCTGAAGATGTTAGCACCGACACCCTAAATATTTACTGGTGAGAGCCCTGTACGCTATCAGGGGTATCGCGAAACCTTATTGATTGACAGATATACGCGTGGACACGACGTGTGACCTCAGGCTGATTGACCAATCAAAACGTTATCAGGTTGACCTGCATAAGCAAAGCAATCTTCCCGTCTACAACTTGAAATTCAATGATCTGATCGATCGTTTCTTTAGAGTTACAATATATTATGTAATTAAATGTACATAGGGAATGTAAGAGTCATTAATATAAATTAAATCATGCAATAGATTTAAAACTGATTTCGCGATGAAAATGCAAGACCGTCCAATGTAGCGGGTCATGTAGTCGTCGATCAGTGATTGAATCTCAGCCTACATGTTCATTTGAATTCAGCGATCGTTATATTCGTTTATTGCTGAAATCTTCTCACCTCCGGTTACCGATCGATGCTCCGGCATCCACTAAACTCTGATTGATATTTATCTGATAAAATATTTGTATTTTCATGATGAATTCATGCAAGATTTGTTCGTGAAAAGTCCCGCCGAAAAGTAAAAAGTGTACTTGTTTTTGACCGTGCATAATAATGAGCTAACGCTGCAGGGCCGTCATTGATTGTTCAAATTTTACCGACATAAACATTGAGTCTGTAAAGCACGTGGCTTTCTGTTTGGTACAAGGCGGTCATAATAGAAATCAAGATAGTAAAAGAGACAGACTTGGGCAAGGCTATTGGAATGTGTACAAGAAGCATTTCTTCTCCCATTTTGAAACCCCAAGACAATGCTTATGTATGAAATGTGGGAAGTTGCCTACCCTTATATTGAAAGCCCATGCAGTATCATAGATTTTTTCAATATTCTGATTTTTGTTTATCTTAAAAAGCACAAAGAGACCATTCAAATGAGCCATGGCTTATGTCTTATCAATTTTCCTTGCTCATAACCTACCATCGTCGGTTCCCACGCTCAATCACTACGTTGAGGATAGGTCCGAAGCTTGATGAAGCAAGATGATAGCCTATAGGCCAGACTGGTTGGAGTGGAAGTGAAATAATTTTGGATAGATCTAGATCTATCTGAAAAAAATTAGAATTTTGTCTATTGAGGATATATCTTTGTTATCACTTCAGTCTCGTTTATTTTGTAATTACTGTACTTACTAGTTCATGTAGATGGTTTAATAACGAGAGAAGTCACTTCATCTGTCGAATTACAAGGTTAAATTCAAATCTTACACAACTTTTAGAAAATTTTCGCAAAACAAAATTTCCGCCAATAATTTACTGAATAATTGCGAGCATACGATTGGCTGTTTATTGTGAACCATAATTTACACTACACGAAATGAGCGAACACGCCTTACTAAATTCCCGAATTACCGGGACCCATTTAGAGAATCCTTCAGCAGAGACATATAAAACATGTTCTCTGGATTCAGATGGTATCGAGAACGGATAAAAAATCTAGGATATGTTTTGTATGCAAAATAGGATAGTTTTTGACACTGCGTAAGTGAACATGACAGCTTGGACAGAAAATTAAGACAATCGGAATAATGTGAATCAGTTTAATGATTATTGGATGGCTCATACAATTTGAGAGAAAATAATTTGACTTCTGTTTAGCTGCCATGGTCATTATTCAGGGAGACCTTAAAGTCTATTTACACAGATTCTGTATTGTAATTACTCAGGTGCGAGTAGGTAGTTACCAGTTTCGCCAACAGGTGGCTGATTCGGGGGAAATAACATGGCAGGGTATTACAAAATTCCCTTTAACTTGAATATCATCAGTTTTAGTGGTTCACTTTTAATATTACCCTTACTGTATGTATCTGATAGTTATACAAATTAAAATATGTCCAGTAAAAGAAAAAATTATCTGTCCAACACAAGAAAAGATATTTCACTTTTTGTACTTTTACAACATGGGGTCTATGGGGAATCTCCCCGACCTAGAAGTCACATTTTCAAGGAAAATTAAATTTTTCAAGTTGATAAACTCTTTTCCAAGTCACAATTCTAGATGTAATTTTACATATATATTCCAAATATGGTATCAGTTTGACTGAAGTTTGAATTTTTAATGATGTAAATCAAGATTATTTCTACTCGCATCTAGTCTATTGTGAAGAGACTTTATGTACACCCTGTATTTGGTGCAGTTCAGCTTTAGATTAGAGTATTACTATTTAATACAAGCATTTCTTGATATAGGCTTAAGGATCGATTTTATTTTCTGGCTGTGTTATTTAGATATCTTTTTCAATCACAACACTATATTCATGGTGCCAATAATTTAAAGGGGCTAAAAGTTAAGAATCTAAAGCAATCGATTGTTAAAACCAAGATAAAAATAAACTTTAGACTTTCATCTTCATATCAGAATCATCATCATTTCAGTATTTTTCTGGACCATAAAACTGGGTCACAATTAATGTCCTACTTTAAAGGGTCCCATGCAAAGGAGGGGGGAAAGTATCGCAACAGATTTCGGACAGTCATATGTTGAATTTTGTCTATTTTCTCTGGATTTAAACAGGTGCATGTGTTAGACAAATGCATTACCTCCAGGAAAAGCACTCCTTGAGATGATAAATTTTGACTTTGAGACAGGGAAGATGCAAACAACCCACCCACATATTTTTTCTGAAATGTTTTCCTGATTTTCAACCCCTTCCACCCCTGCTTTTTTCATTTTTCTTGCATCAATATGTTGTGTTTTGACACACAGTTAACCCCTTTAAAGGAATAAGTGATTCATTTTAGATAAGGTGGAAAACAATATTTCCCATGTTATTTTTCCATAGGGAAAACTCATGCGATCCATTGCTTTCTGCTAATTTTGGTCACCCATAATGGAGATCTTTAAAAACCCTGAAGGAATCACTTATTCCTTTAAAGGGGTTAACTGTGTGTCAAAACAGAACATATTGATGCATATGGCCCATTTATTGAAATTACATTTATTCCAAAATCATAAATATTATATTAATTGATTCAATTTACAAATTAATTCCCAGGGAACCTTTTCCTGAAAGTACTTTCACACAGGACACACTGCTTTTTATTAAAAATTAACACATAACAAAAGTAATTCAATGCAATAACCCATGCTTCATCAAAGAGCCAGGCTTCATTTATTTTTCAATGAGTAAAGCACCCTTGGACCAAGGATGCAATTAAGCATGCAGACCCAAGGCTTTATTATGAGGAAATCCAGTATATACAGGGTGGGCCAAAAAACAATACCTAAGTTTAAAGATGAATAATCCATATGATATTTTAAACCATGCCATGTATTAATATATATTATTTCAAAGATAAATTGTTTCCTAACAATATGTCACCATCCAATTGAAAAACCATTGTTTTCTTGTGGAGTTAGAGCTAAAATAGCCTTGCCCAAGTCGGTATTTTTTACTTATCTGATCTTGAATTATTACCGCCTTGTACAATCCAAAACATCTCCGCTGATATTATGCTGAGATATTCAACGGTTTCGAGATTTCCATAATACCTACGCTATCAGGGGTATCGCGAAACCTTACTGATTGACAGGTATACGCGTGGACACGACGTGACTTGGGCAAGGCCAGAGCTAAAATTGACACCAGGGGTGTCATGAGCGACTAAAAATCAAAAAATGAAAATTCCCAATTTTCCCTTCATATTGCAGTCACAGCTGCACTCAATATGCTTGATCATTTATTTAAGAGTAATATACAATTGATAGTTGATTAAAAATATATAAGTATCATTGGTGAATTTTGTATAAATGTACCTCTTTTGAAAGTGCCAAAGTTCAAATTTCCACATAAAATCCAATAAGGGAATGTTTTCACTGCACATACTGCTTTTCTCCAATCAGAAACACTGATGCACTGTAATCCATTAAATGTCACTAGATTCAGATTCCTTCTTGACTGTCAACAGATGGCACAAAATTCAATGGGTTTGATTGTATATGAGTATATAGTATCATAAGTATCACTACAAAAATATATTTTATTGATAACACAAAAACACTTAATCTTTTAACATGTAAGCACAATAATCAAAGATTAAAATGTATTATATTTATATATAAGTTTTAATAGAGCACTAATCAAATATAAACCAAAAAGCAAATGCACTTAAAATACGTCATGATTTCTAAAAACAATGACATCCTTCATAAAAGGAATAGGAACACATCAAAAATATATGACAACATCGACAGTGGAATTTTAAAAACAAAATCATGTACAGGGTGACCCAAAAATAGGCCTGAAAATAAATTAGAATAATTTCATCGATATCTAGACAATCAACCTTACTTTTCAGGTACAAAAAGGTTAGAATCTATTGATGACAAATAAACATTGTTTGTTGATGTTATACCATCATCCATTGAATATTTTTGTACCTGAGAAAAAAGTGATTGCATAGATATTAAACAAATATTTCATTCTGTTGTATTCACAAAAACATTTTTATATTACTGTACTTCTATTTAATTTGGCGCTTCTAATTTTGGCAGATTTGCTGTTTTGAACATTTGGAGGCTACTTAATTTGGCAAACTTGCAATATTACATGTACTTATGGTACTAATTTCCATTGTAATTATACAGCTACTTAATTTGCCAAACTTTAACAATTTGGCCAAAAAGTAGAAGCACAGTATCTTGCTTACAAGCTTATCATCCCCTACTATATCAATTCGCATGCTTAACATTGATAAATACATTAATACTTGTTGAAGCCTCTATTTCTTCACTGAACAAAATAAATTTCTTTTTGATATTACCTGTGAGCGGAAAATATTTTACAAAAATTTCATACTGTTGAGGTGAATACCTGTTCATTTTATGACGACTTTGGCAAGGTGTATTCCCCAAAGAGACAGGGAAATACTGTACATCTTGCAGAGTCATTGAAAGCGCAACAGGTATTCATCGAAAATAGTATGATATATATTCTTTTTAACAATATCGTTGGTGGATATGTTTTGCCACTTGTACATGTTGTAAGGAATAGACCAATATAGGCCCGTAGCCAGGGGGGCTTCGCAGGGTTCGGGCGAACCCCCCTGGCCAAAAATTCTTTCAAAATCATGCAGTTTTTCACCATTTTGAGCACTTCTTAAGTGATTTTAGCCATATTTGGGCCAAAATTGTCAAATGTGAACCCCCCCTGGAAATTTTTGAAAACTGAACCCCCCCTTGGCAAATCCTGGCTACGGGCCTGCCAATAAGAGAATGGGGAATATGAGAGTGATATAATAAAGTTGAATATACACAGACTGTTCCCTGATTTTTCATGACATGTGACCCAGTTTTGATCAATGATACAATTTTTAAGCTTGAAATGGTATTATTTCAGTTTTTTTTGTATAAATTGTATATATTAGTGTAGTGTAGTGTAGTTTTGTGAAATTTCATTTGTAATGACTAATATGTCAGGTCATGACATCTAAAGAGTCAATAAAAGATATCTATATATATTTAGATGTGCCTGTTCTGGGTCACAAGTTAACCTTCAAACAACCACAATAGTTTGATCAAAATAATCCAATGGGGATTCCCTTAAGTCGTGCTACAATCCTCATGTTTTCCTGTTCTCTCTTTAGGGTCAGAAAATAGATAAGGAGATAAATTGATGCAAGGCTGGAATCCCCTTGTCAGCTTACACAATTATTTAATCATTTGATCACAAAAGCCTGCATTGAGAATGAAGTACATTTATTCATATATTAATCAATGAAGTAAATTCATTAATATGTATTATTTATCATTACATGTCATTTCAGCATATGGAGCAGAGGTGACTGTTGATTGACAAAATGAAGGTCACCTTTGTCATGAGAATTGGCAACCGATTATAATAAAGAAAATAACTATCAATGGCGGGCTTAATTGAAAGCTAGACTTTATGATGTGTATTTTTGAGGGGGGTTCCATAATTTGAAAGAAACCTCTGTTTCTTAAGAACACAACATTAGAAATGTTCAGGAGAAAGATGGACATTTTGATGAGATATCTGAAAGTGTTCAGAAGAAAGAGGGTCATTTTGAGGGGACATTTGAATTTGTTCAGAAGAGAGGTGGTTATTTTGAGGAGACATTTGAATATGTTCAGGACAAAGGTGGACGTTTTGAGGAGACATTTGAATATGTTCAGGAGAAAGGTGGATAGTTTGAGGAGACATTTGAATATGTTCAGGAGAAAGGTGGACATTTTGAGGAGTTTCATTATATTCAGGAGAAGTGTGGGTATTTTGATGAGACATCTGAACATTTTCAGGAGAAATAAGGATATTTTGAGGAGTTTCATAATGTTCAGGAGATATATGGGTATTTTGAAGAGACATCTGAACATTTTCAGGAGAACAGATGGCATGTGGATACTGTTCAGGAGATTGCACATTTTCAGGAGACCTTTGGGGTTTTTCAATGGAAACGTCAGCATTTGGTGTCTGACAATAATCAGGCAAACACGCACCATTTTGAACAGATCCTTGGAAATCTCCAAAAGAAAGAACTTCATTTTGAGAAGAAATGAAATGTTCAGGAGAAAGTTCAGAAGACCTTCAGCCATGATCATGAGAAAGATGCTCATTTAAAGGAGATGTTCTGTAGTCTTGAAAAGAAAAGTTTTGTGTTGGATGACAATTTCCAGGAGAAGGACTGTTATTTTGAGGAGACTTTTGGCAAGTTTCGGGAGCAAGATCTGCCTTTTCAGGTAGCATTTTAAAAAAGTCCAAGGAAGGACCAACATTCTGTTGCTGGGGTTCAGCTAAATTTGGATGAGATTGTACATTCTGCTTTGAGGGCATGCATTTAATATTCTCTTCTTTAGCCTGGTTAACAGTTGTCACAGATTCCTTAGAAGTTGAGCTTGGATATTTAGTTAGAGTGAGAACATTATCAGGGCCTTTCTTAAAGTAGTACTTAGGCCTGGTTCGTTTCTGAGTTGGATCAGAAAATCTCTGAAAAGGCTTAGCGAACTGATAGGGAGGTTGGGTTTCTTTCACATGGATGGATTCTTTGGAGGTTTTACTTGACAAAGGAATGTTTGTTCTTTGAGGAGAAACATCCTGACTCATGTTTGTGCTAGATACAAGATTTTTTGAATCTGTAATACCTTTGTAGGAAAATATTGCACTTTGTGTGGTGGGTATTGGCATCTTTTGTAAAGAACACCCAAAGTTTTTCTCAGACAGGGCACAGTCTTTGACAGGAGAGGCTGATAAGCTGGAGTTTTCAGACTCCACTTCAGTACATATAGGAGAAAGTTCAGAAAATAAGGGAAACTCTGAACCTGATTGGGTAACTAATGTATTTTCTGAGTCTGATTGCAACAGAAAGTCTGAATCTGAGTCAAAGTGATCTGATATAAATGGATCAGTTTTAGACTGATTATGAATTGCAAGTTTGATATCATCATTAATTACATCGGAATGTGCAAATCCACTTTGGATACTACTATTTGTAGTTTTATCTCCAAGACGACCTTGATTGAAAGGACTTGGCTCTGTTTGATCACGTTTCAGCCTACTGTTTACATTAGGCTCTACAGTAAGGCTATCCTTACAACCATTTTCATAGCCCCCATGGTAAGACCCTAAAGACACTTGGTGAATTGTAGGGACTCTCTTGGGATTGGTAGAACTACAGGTAAAATTTAAATTACTTGGGTGATGGGAATCTAAATTGCTACTGAAATGATTACCAACCTCACTTTTTGTCTCACCATTGACACCAGTATTAATACTTCTCACATTGACACCATGCTTTTTTGGATCACCTGTGCGGATGCTATTTAGATTGTGTCTCAACATGTCTTTCAAGTGGGCATTTTTTGGATCATTTAACACTGATTCAGCAAAGGCTTTCATATCTTTCGCAAGTTTCTGAACCTGTGAAACTGTACCTCCATGCTCCTTAACAAGAGCAGAAGTCCTCTTTGTAATGTCCAACAGGCCACATTCCTTTAACGCTTCTGCAGTTTTCTTGAACCGTTTTCGTTTGCTTGATACTGTGTGTATATCAAGCGCTTCAGACTTACTGCTTCCAACAATATATCCTGTCTGTTCTAGCGATGTTTTATTCTCAGATGAACTGTACGTATCACTACCGTAGTCAGATTTTTGCCCACAAGTAAGATCTGATTTATAACCAGAAGTATGGCCATAATCCGACTTGCCACTGATGCTCGATTTATAAAGGCTGCTTCCATATCCGCTATCACCACATACTGACGAGAAATTAGTGACAGGAAGCTTACGAAATCTATCTCCACTGCCATTCTGTTTGAATTCAACTGGATCTACAGATGAGAATCCAATATTATCTAATGATTTGACATAAGAGGCCACAGTATTGTTATTCCATGTAGGGGTTATTGTAGAGTTATTTTTCTCCATTTTCCTGCGCTTGACTGTTTTAAGAACGTCATACATTTGTTGTAGTTTGGCAGATTTTTCTGTATGATCCTTGTTTGTTCTATTCAGTTCTTGATATATCTGCTTAGATAGGACACTCCTTGAACGCTTTAACAACTGAGATGACTCCATATTTTTATCACACTGAAATATACAAAAATATGAAATTATTATATGATTGTTCACTTTATATTGTACACATCATTAGTTATAATTGCACATTTTGAAGCACATGTAAATTCATTCCTAATATATATTCAAGATCATACAACAATATGTATACATAACTATCACTAACATCTTTTGATTTTCAAAGTTTGATACATACATACCTGCATAATATGTGTGTATTTGATTAGCTATCTCAAATCTCAATTTTTTTTCAAGTTGATGGTAAACTGTTACATGTATGAATTTTTATTTTGAAGGTTTGACATATTTTAGAGATCTAGCTCTGTAAGAAAACTCGGTTCATGATATGACGTGTGCACTAATTACTTACCTCTTGCTTTGTACCTGATGTATTATGATCCATTGCTAACCTAAGTTATATCAGCTAAGGGATGATGATAATGTCATCTGCAAATAAAAAGAAAGAGATGTGTCACTAATGTTAATTTCAATCAATCTGTATACAAGTGTAATTGTGTATGTCACAATGTAAACCTTACAATACATGTACATGTATCAATTCATACCTGCTGCCATTAATGTAATGTAAACCACAAAGCTAATAAAGCTTAGATATCTAATAATATAAGGGGTGCTAAAAAGATATATCTTAATTAAAAGTCTTGCAACTCCTACAGGGTCTATATGCTTGCTGAACAAGTTCTAAACTATCATTATATATACTTCTTGGACAATGGTCTTCCATAAGGCACCAGTATATAAAGGCTTGACCACATATAAATCCAAGATAAGTCAGAGTCCAAAATAGTGAAAATATCCTTTCAAAGCTAAAAAATAAAGAAAGCACGGTCCATGGCACAATGTTGTATGCAAAAATGTATTCTGATTTTCATTCTGTAAATCTTTGGTAACTTGTAATTTGTTCAGACATAATAATTTTTCGAAAATTGTACCAGAGAAGCATCACATTTAACCACACATTTATGTAGCAATCCAATATATCAAATGTTCTGCATCAAAAATATGAATGTATCGGGTTTTATCCTATGCCAAGTAGAGTTTGGGTGGGCCCAGAAAAAAAAAATTGTGCCCAAAAAAAATTTTGAGCCAAAAAAGGCCCTAAGGCCCCAAAAAGTAGGCCTTTTTGGTCAAAAATTGGCCTTCTAAGGCCTTGTTTTTTAATTTTAGGCTAAATTTTGAAGAAAATGGGCCTCAAAATTTCAAAATTTGGGCCCACTTTTGGGTTTTTGGAGCCCAGAAGTTATTTTCGAATATAAGAAGTTTGGGCCCCCCCCCTTGTTGGTTCCCAGATCCGCCCCTGGGGTTTTAGGGAGATAAGTTGGTAAGATATATCCCGTATTCTGATTTTGAGGTTTCCATATCCTGAACCTCCATATCTCCCGCCATATCTCCCACTCCAGGGCATATCTTCCCGCTTCGAAAAAAAATGTGAAAAAATAAAAAAAATGAAAAAGAAGAAAAAATGTGAAAAAATTGAAAATAAAAAATTCAAAAAAAGAAAAAAAATAGAAAAAAATTTAAAAATGTGAAAAAATAAAAAAAAATTGAAAGAAAATTAGAAAACTCTACTTGGTATAGGATAAAGCAGTTATGTCCGGTCGGTTTGGATATGGGTTCATTCCTCGTGAGATATGCACATCTACCCTTCGGTCCCTACGGTCCCTCAGGCAGATATGCATATCTCCCTCTGGATAAACCCCATATCCAAAACCTACCAGTACATAACCCTTATATATGTTAATCACTTATATGTTCACAGTCTAGCACAATCAATTGCAGCTTGATTTAGGCAGGCCCAAATCAAGGACCGTGGTTAAGTATCGTTTGGTCCAAAATCTGACCTGGATAAATATTTCCATTATAGAGATGCATTGGGATTATCCTGGAATTTATTTATAATCTTTGGGGATAAATCCCGGGCTAACTCCCCCAGACCCCCATGAACACTCGTTTTTCGCTTTGTTCAACTTGTGTTCCCGTTGTGGCTTACTTTAAAAAATTGCGCTATGGCCCACTGGAAGCTGTAGAAGTCCTTTTTGGGCCTAACAGAGCTTTTTGCGCTTCCCCACTCTCAGAACAGATGTATCCCTTAGAGAATACATCTGTTCTCACATCTGTTCTGAGAGTGGGGAAGGGCAAAAAGCTCTGTTAGGCCCAAAAAGGACTAGGTACAACTTCCTGTGCTACGACCATAGTATTTAGCCTATATCTCACTGGAAGTGGAACAAAAATAAATCCAAAAATTACAGTTGGGGACAAAAATAAATGACAGGTCGATTTTCGATCACCATTTCCTAATTATGGTGGTCTGAAAGAAGTCTGTCGATGGGAAAAGGTTCCAAAGCAAACCTGCAATTGACAGTGCTGTCTCGGACACCCTCATTAGACTATATTAATATTTTGACTTACCTGTCGCCTCAGCAACTCACTTATATTCATATGATATGCATGAACTTCAACGTGAAACATCAATATGAAGTAAGTCCAGGAGGTAAATAAATAGGACGTACAAAACTCACGTTGCAGTGCGCATGTTCCTCTGTCTTGGTATGAAAAAAGCGAACATTTGAAAACATATTCACTTTCAGTCAGATTCTGTCATATTTTACGAGTAAACTTTTTTTCTTTTTTAAACCTTATACGAGGAACTTTAAATAAATGACTTCGACCGCTTAATGAGTTTTCCTACATGCATACATTGACTACTTGACTACAGAAAAGAAATGGAACGTTCGGCTTTTTGACAACCAATTAAAGACAGATCGATTGGCCTGACCTCTTTATTTAAAATATATTTCTATCGCACAAAGTTTATCGTTTATTTTGGGTGCCAGAGTATGACCATGGGCTTTCAACTCGTAGTTGATAATTGATCTAAGACATGCCAGTGATGATTTGATTTCTGAAATATTAAAATTTCCCGCCAGTTTTTAATAAAAAGTTGAAATTGTTATATTGCCAGTTTCATGTGCCTTTGACACAATATCCTAGTGTTGGGAGCGGGCAATTTTAAATTGTGATTCCAAATAAAGTTGAAGAACATTTTCATGAGTAAGAATTAAAACAATAACATTAGTAACTAAGTAAAACAGTACAGTTTGTACACTTATGCAGAGACATATAAAACATGTTTTATATGTCTCTGACTTAGATATACAAATTCGTTCATGGGAAAGATTATTTTCTTCAATTATCTTGGTGAATGAAACATTTAAGAACTGAGAAAGTGTAAAGAATAAATGACGAGATATTTTCGCAGTCCAACAATATTATGTACATTATTCGTTATTATATGAAATAGCTAGCAGATTCAGCACATCATTGGAAAGCGTACATAATCCCTTCAATCCTCTTCATCATGTTCATACCAGAATTGAACCAAATATTCAGGGAATGTAAAGTTAATAACGCATTCAATTTACATAATAGATGACGAAAAGTTTTCCGCGGACTGACAACATGTTTTTTTAATTTGAAATAGCTAGGCAAACAATTAGCACACCATTGGAAAGCTTATCTAGTCTTTTTCAATCTCTTTTCTAGCAGAAACACAATTAATTATGAGTCGATATAACTCAGGAAGAACATTGCTTATGGATCTGTATTAAAGTCCCCACGTTAAGTTTAAAAATATGTTTTTTATCATTTATTTACCATTCCTCATAACTTAAAACGTTATTTGAGAGATTTTTGAAAAGAAATTCGAAAAAATGTTGTCAGCTTTTCATTTCTCAAATATTCAAATTTCCCGCCATTTTTCAAATAAAAGTTGAAATTTTAAATCATCAAATATTCCACTTTTCAGTGCAAAAACAATATTTTTAACTCCAATGCAAAGATTGAACAAAGGACACGCTATTTCAATAATATAATGTCATATCTAGTGTGCCACTTCAATTTAGATAAAAAATATTTTGCAACCTTAATAACATCATCGTGACATTACTCAGGCTGCAAAAATATTTTGGAAAAATTAAAAACCGTATGTCAACCTTTTCTAAATATGCTGAACTTCAAAAATAAACCAATATTTATTGTCTAACCAGATTAAAAGGAACAATATTACTACTAGTATATAATATACATATAATTCATCATGTTTTAAATTAAATATTTTTGTACCATTGGCTTCTGAGAACTAAAATTTCGAAATGCATTTTTCTCTGAACCATTTTCATCATGGATGAGTTCATTTCTTTCTTATTTATGAAAAGTTTACTTAATTTTTCGGCAAATAACATATTGTGAGGATGAATGCATGCCGCACCCAATATTTCTCACAGGCTCCGTCTGTATAGGGTGTAATAAATCGTTAAATACTAGTAAATAAATAAGTGCACATTATGGTAAAATATGTATGATTTTTTGAACTGATACGCTTCTACGGTATGAGATCTATCTAAAAAGGCACAGCGTCACCAGCATATAGTCTTGCTTCAAGACCCTGACTAGCTACTCTGCAACTCTACAACTGCTTAGAAAGGGAACCAGTCAGTCCACATCTTGAAGCAAGACTTACCAGCATGCACAAGTCAATCGTTTTGCTATAAATCAAGAAGCAGTGGAGGTCTACACGATCTGTTATGAATAAGGTGACGTTATCATCAGAAAATGTTTCATTGCTTTTATGAAAATGAGTCAAAACGGTATAAATAATAAAAACAAGGCATTAATCGTGTAAAATACAACTACCTGCCATCATGGGCGTAGGGCTTTATTTTGAGTTGGTACGTGGATGCCCATGGGCATTCAACATTCTAGTTGAATGCCCATGGGATGCCTGATTGCGTGGCCGAAGACCGCGCATCGCGGGGGTTCGTGGGAGCATAATGATATGCTCCCCAGCGGAATTTTTCTCAAGGTTGTTGTTTGTTGGAATCTAAGCGTTTTTATCAACTTTAAATGTTGAATGGTAAAATATAGATACGGTAGGAAGCATCAATAAATTCGGAAATAAATTAATGCATTTTAACACTTTAATTTTTTTCAAATTCATTTGGTACGCCTATGCGTATTTTCCGTAATAGGCGCTACGCACATGGTCATTTGTTACAGACGCCGAACACAAAAAAGTTTGAGATGATAACAATAAGTCACCATTCGTGGTGACATGAATATCAAAATAATTACATCCCCTCAACTTACTGTATTATTTTGATTATTTTTGTTACGTTTTGTAACGGCAACAATAAGTTTAATCGGATCAATCAGTGTTCAGATTTATCTTTAAATATAAGGGATAAAATTTTGAGGCACATCAATGAACCATGATATATGAACCCTATTATAATGTCGTGTAAGTATCAAAAGATAATGTTTTATTTCTAGGCAGGAACTTTTTTAAGCATTGCTTATTTCCAGATCAAAGCTGTAGGCTATTGATCATGTAGAGATCTTTATGAATTTAAAACATTATGGGCTAATTTGGGATCAGAACAAGTGCATAAAATAGACAAAAACAATCTATTAAGCTCACAAAGCAAGGTTTATTACAAAAAATATAAAAAATATCTTGACAAGCTAAACCAAATTCAGTGAAAATAATGGACATACCTGATATTTTACAGGTACTGCATATTGGGAACTGTGAGTTTTCCCATCTCTAAATAAACTATTCCTCGTCCATAACTTTATTTTATTTTTTACCTCTTAATGAGATTCTGAAAATAATATTTTTTCTTTTATTAACCCCAGCCTGTCATTCATGTCATTTGTAAATAATACTGCAGCAGTTAACAAATTAAAATACATGTATCATCATTTGATATAATGTACCTTTGTCAAATGTAAAAGGATGGAATGATAAAATGAGAAATTGAAATATCTCTAAAAATATAAATGACATATAAATATTTTAATCATCTGCAGTGTTTCACAATTGAGCATGTTTTTTAGAGTTGAGTTTAAGGTTCAACCACTCTCAACTGAACAACCATCATTCCTCATTCCTTGACAAAATTCTACTTTTGGCTTCCATGTGTACATACAAACATTTCTAAAAAATAGAGCACATTTAGAATGTAAAATTTTCACTTTAATAATTGTGTTAACATTGTATAAGGTTTGCATGGCACAATTTTTGAGCCTTAAAACATTTCAGGTTCAGTTGTATTGAAACCATTCAACATGTGTGTTCAATGGTGTTAATTTTTACACTGCAATGTCAGAGTTCAGAGAAGCATAGGTCTGCATTGCAAGTGTAATTTCACAAAGAATGGCTCCAGAGCTGGTAAATAAATAGTCAGAGGTCAAAACAAAACTTTTTTGCTTGCGATAACATTGCATTTCTCTTGAAACAATGGCTAACCTGAATAAGACATACATAAGGTATAGGCAAAAAGCTTTCCTTATTTTCTGAACGTGATTTAAACAAGCATGAGATGTGGCAGGACTAAATTCTAATTTTGCTTCATTACTTGGTTATGACCAAGGATGAAACATTATAGTGAAATATTGGTTGTTTCTTTTCAAAGTTTTGCCAGATTTGTCTTCTGATAACTAAACTTGGACGCTTTCAAAAAACTGAGGTTTATTGCAAGCCACATAGTAAGGTTTGACCTTTACAACAAAGTATTAAACCTATTGATGGTCCAACTATCCAAAGTAATTTGAGTTGAAGTTGGTAAAATCTGGAATTCTATTGCGACACTTAAAGTCAAAGTGTAATAAACATGGGGGTATGAGATTTACTTATCCTTTTCTTCATCCTAAGATTATGTCCTATTTACAAATGTTTACATTATTAAGTTTTTATGTTTAAATTATTAATTGTTATCAAATAAACTCAAATTATAAGCATTCTGGATGATAATAAATATACAGAAAAAGCATTATACATCTATGTGCACTGTAAATTGATTTAATTTGGCGCTTTTTTATTTGGCGGATTGAGCAAATTTTGAAAGGCTGCTATCTAATCATATTACTCACTTCGCAGCTCACCACTGATAGCACAATTTTATCTCTCCTCCAGGTATGAGATCATATTGTCTGAACCAGCAGTTACTCTATACATCTTTGCAAATAATCTTAAATTGACATTTTATCCGTATCATTTTTCAGATTTTCAAGTTTTATCATGCAAGGTAACACATGGGAAAGTCACTGAATGAAAATTTGTGGTACAAGAATTCTTGGTGATTTTTCAAAAAATTGGCAGAGACCTCATTTGGTGGTTTTTATCAATACATCAAATTAAAATGGCTGTCAAATTAAAGCAATTTACAGTATCTGGGAATGTGACTCCTCTTACAAATCTTTAGCTTTTCTGGTATATGATCAACAACTGTTTATACTTTGACACCTTCGTCACTTATAAAATAAAATTAATCTCTAACTTGTGTTTGAAGTGCCAATTAGGTCACATTTTCCCCATGTTTTGATATTTTATACAAAAATACTTTAATAAATCTAGAGATAAAATGTTTATCATTGCTATGTACACACTTGTGAAATAAAGAAACACAATGCGGTATAAATAAAATGATATTCTGTGAAGAATTGAGATTAAATATGGATGGATGGGTGGGTTGTGCCAGGTGCCTGATTGTGCTAAAACACAATATGAATATTCCTAACCAGTAGCAACTTTTGTACAGGAAGTAAAAAATTCAGGCCATGTGATATGGAA